GCCCTGGGTTCAGTCACCAGCACTGAAAAACACAACACAGAAACCAAAACAGAAGAACCACCTCATCCCCCAAATCTTCCTTGGGAAAATCAATTCTAATTTCCTTGCCTAAGTTTGCAAAATTTATAGGTAAGTTGGGATGTGGCTGCAGGCGCCCTCTAGAGATGGCCTTTAGCCACTCCAGTACACTGTGTCTGGGCTTTCTGTTCTCAGCACCACTTCTCCCTCCTGGGAGCTCCTGATGAGAGGATCCAAATTTTCCCTGCATTAAGCACTACTGTCCCCTGCCCTTAACAGGGTTCTGCCCTCATTCTTCCTGCTCACTCTCTTTGCCCCTGCAAAGGTCAGTCCCCCAGCCAGCTCCTCATCTGAAGTTAACACCTCCTCTGCTGGCCACTGCTCTTTGCTTATCTCTCTTCCCTTTTTATTATGAGTTTCTCTGGCTGGGTCCTGGGCTTCTTCCTCTTCACCACAGACCCTGATGTCTTCAGTTCTGTCTCTGAAATGATGCCCACATATGGGGTGATGACCAGGGCCTGTTTCCCAAGCCTGTCTCCATTTACTGTTCAATCTCACTGATAGCACCACTGTCTCATCAGTGTGAATCCTCCCTGGGAGTGTTAGGAACCTCTGGGGAAATAAGTCCCAAACTTGGGCTATTTCAGACTCCTCTGCACCTTTCCTCATCTCTCATCTCCCCACTGTGTCTTCTACTGATAAGCAGAAACACGGTCCATTGGTCACCACCATCTCTCTAGCTGGCTTCTAGCCTCAATCCTCCTGCCCTTGCCAATTCTGTGCTTGTCCAACTCTGGCCTCGTGGCATGTATCTCCCTCCATACAACAACCAAGCACAGCTTTCTAAGCAAAATTTAACCCTGTCCTTCCCCTTCCCAGAGCTCCCCATGGGTCCCCATTTCCCCATTCAATTCTCCAGTCAGCCTCCAGTGATCTGATATCTGCCAACCTTTAGTGTCACAAGCCCCCTTGAACTTGTTCCAGCTAGTTCTTGGGTTCTCAGAATCATCTACTCTGCCCTACCTACATCCTCTCCACAGAGCCCAGCCTACCTCCAGGGTGGGTCAGACAACTCCTCTTGGTCTCCAAAAACCCTGTTTTCCCTTCACAGCTCTCATCACTGCAGCCAGGCTCATGGCGAGCTACCATTGCCCAGGCTTCTCCATCACATCTGACCTTTCCAGCCTGTGCTCCCCTGACCTCAGCCCTAACCACTCTACTCTCCTTCATCCTACATAAGAAGGGATTATTTCAGACAGTTGGTTATTTCTACAATCTTCACCTATCTCAGTTAGTGTAAAGGGCTGGACAGGTCATGAGAGGGAGGTGTGGGAGAAAGTAACACTACCACAAAAAAATCTACCCAGATGGGCTGTGGGTGTACCCCATTTTCTTTCCTCATTAAAACTGAGGTGATCAATCACTCCCAGCCCCCAAGAAACCTGAGAACTATCTTAGGCCCTGAAGAAGGGTGGGGCTACAGGGTGGCTTCCTCATCTGAGGGTAAATGCACACTCTGAAAACACCAACTGCCATAGCAGTCCTTTCCTAGGACTGAAGTCAAGTAACACGTAGGCGCTGTAGGCTTGGTGGAGGGTGAAGGCAACTGTCTCATCCCAGTGGGAACACTAGGGCTGGGGAATATTTTCCTGAGGGGGCAGGATTTGCATCAAGCTTGAGCTTGACATTCAAAGGTCCACTTCTGGTATATGTCCCTCAGGGAGGGAGAGGAGGTAGGGCAAAGAGCTGGTCCAGTGGACCAAGGCAGGGAGTGTTGGTGGTGGAGGGTGGCATCTAAGACAATGTCCAAGCTGGTGAGTTCCACTGCTGTGCTATTTTGCTGTTGCTAACCCTACACTCCACCCTGAAGACTCAGTCTAGGATTTGACCTGAGGGGCATAGGACTGAGTCAAAGCACCAAGAAATCAGAATCAAACCCACTTATGCCCACCCATGGAGGGCCTTTTTTTTTTTGATACTGGGGATTGAATGAAGGGGTGCTTAACCATTGAGCAATATCCCCAGCCCTTTCTATATTTTATTTAGAGACAGGGTCTTGCTAAGTTGCTGAGGCTGGCTTTGAACTTGCAATACTACTGCCTCAGCCTCCCAAGTTGCTAGGATTATAAGTGTGTGCCATGCGCCCACTTGGATTAAATGATGTTAAGAATTTGACTGTAGAAATCAACCCAGGGAGAAACCCCAGAGAGATCAAAGGTCAAAACCAAAGGTCACTCTTTATGGCACAATGAGAAGCCACAAATTGTTGTAAGCAGGGAAGAGTGACCTAGCAAAACAGGTTACAGACTGAAACACCCCCCCACCCCCCACAGGCTGTCACTTAGAGGATGGATCGGAGGATGAGACTGGGGCTGGGGACCTTTGAGGTAACTAGCCAGGGAAGAGTCCAGGTGGGAGAGGGACCAGTTGAAGGTGTGAGGAGAGGAAGAGGAGCCCTCAAGAGCCCTCTCTTGGATTCTAGCTCCCCTCTATCAACTGTTCCCAGGCCTCTGTGGCTATTCAAAGGTCATCTATTTTAAGCTCTTCATCTACCCTTGAAAAACCAGGAGTCTAGGAACTGTGAGGACAGAGGAAATGTCAGAGGACTGACTAGCATCCCAGCTTGTCTACCTGGTTCCAAAGCCAGAATAAGGGTCTCTAGGACCTAGGCGGACATAGTATAGGGAGACAGTTCTTGAGAGAAATAGAGGCAGAAACAACTTTCCAAATACTGTTTACTTCACTAAAACAACCTGGAGAGAGGCAGGGAAAAGGTCACCAGTCCTAGGAGTGCACATTGACAACGGCGACATACAGGGCCAAAGTGCTGAGGGCCAGCAGCCCTGTTACCACTGCTCGGGCCAGTAGTGCTGTCCAGCTGCCCAGGGAGCAGAGGTGGACGAAGGTCCTGTGGGGAAACATCACAATGAGGAAAGGAGACCAGAAAACCCACCCTCATTTGGACCCAGCCTCAAAGCCCCCTGAGCTCACTCCATGACAAAGGCCTTGTAGACACTAAGGAACATCAGCAGGAGGACAGCTGGCCGGAAGGTATGGTACAGGTCATATCGTGTTATCATCCAGACTTGGGCAGAGGCAACGATGTAATGGACCTGACAGGAGGGAAGCAAGAAGTTGGGGCCAGGCCTTGGGGAGAGATATGGCCACTGAAAAAAGGTATATGTGGCACGGAGAGCAGGACTGCATACCAGACTGATGTTGGAGTCAATGCTCATCTGGATGTATTTCCAGTCAAACTCAATGCCCCGGGCTCCAACCCAGAGGGGGATGCAGCTGAAGAAGGCAAAGGGAGGGATTTTCTGGTACCCAGACATCCTTGATACCCAGACTGAGGCCACCCCCTCCCCCAGCATCCCTGTCCACCCAAGTGTCCTTTCTTAGGATAGTATGGGGTCCAGGCTGCTACACACACCGGGACATAATGAGCTCGGCGGTGGCCCAGCCCAGGGCAGCAACCATGATCTTGTACTCCCCCTTGCCGGCATTCCGGGACATGACAAGGTTTAGGCCTATTAGGTCTGCCACATCCACGCTGGCCTTCATGAACTCCTGTGGGTCAGGTTGAGGCATGAGTAAGCACAGGGCCAAGTAGCCCCGCTTGTGCACTTCCTGTCCCTCCCTCACCCTACTCACCCCAATGAAGTCATAGATGCCACCTTCCCAGGTGGGGAAGAAAGTGGCCAAGAACAGCATCTGAGAACAGAAAGCAGAAAGGTCACCTCAAGGTGAGGGGGGAAAAAAAAACCACCTATGTGTTTTGTGGGAAGTTAATGTTCCTGTGAAAAGCGGGACACTATAGATTCCAGGGGTCTTTCTGGGAGAGAGTGGCAAGATCACAGGGCTACGGGAGATAGAAGGTAAATGTCTGGTGTCTGTGGGGGCTGGAAATTCACAGGGGGTATAAGGTATAGAGGTGCTGGGGTGGCAACTCGGGAAGTGCTACCAGCCCCGTGTGACACGCGGCGGGGTTAGTTATCGCTCTTAACCATACCAAAAAAACCTCTGTGCCAATCCTACAACCGAGGTTTTCTCAATTTTTACCGAAAAGCGCTAAGAAAAAGTTGCTTCAAGACCTCATCTCCGGTTCCACCCCTTCTGGGGTCCATACTCCAAGGGACCTATGCGGAGTCCTGAAAGCGATCCCACGGTGGGGGGACAGCGGCAGAGCCGGGTCCCTGGGTCTGGAGAGCCTGGGGGCCAGACACGTGGGGTCCGGGCGGCCCTCACCTTGCATAGCTGCACAAAGAGGTAGGTGACCCCGGCCTGGACGCATTTCCAGAAGGCGTTGTACTCAGACCTGGAGAAGCGGGCGGTGAGGGGTAGGCCTGGGCCCCACGCCCTCTCCGCCCCGCGCCCGCCCCGCACTCACAGGCCGCTGCACTTGTACGTGATGAAGTAGGGGAAATAGGCGAGGGCGAAGCAGTTCCCGAAGTGGAACAAGGTCATGTCGCCGGCCGCCCGGTCCCGCCCGCGCGGGAGTCGCCAGGCGACCTCTTCCGACACGGGCCTCCCGCCTCCACCGGCGCTCTCGCCGGGCTAGGGGCTTGGCGCCCACCTGACTGGACTGGCCGCGGCCCGCGCGCGGCCTTCTGGGAGCGGTAGTCCGGACCCAGGCGTCGCGCGCCGTGACGTCAGAGCGCCCGCGTCCGGATCTCGCTTCCCAGGGTTCCAGAGTGGAACGCTGTTGAAACACCTTTTTGGCCACGCTGCGTGTGGGTCCCCGTTTCCCATAAGTGGAATCCGGCTCAGAGCCCAGCGGCAACCCTCGTCCATGGGCGGACCTGGAAACCCGGCCTAGAACCCGCCGTGACCCACGCAGAGAGAGGGGCGCAGCTATGAGCACTTTGGTTTTTATTTCACCGCTGACCGAGCAGCGCTAAGCCCTCACGCCGCGCGCCGTCCTTCCCGGGGCGGGGGGGGGGGGGATTCCGACTTCCGAGCTTGGCGCAGCAAAGGAGGGGCCTTCCTTTCATTGCTCTCGGCTGAACATGTAGCGGATCAGGTCCACCACCCGATGACTGTAGCCATATTCGTTGTCATACCTGCAGAGGAAAGGAAAGAGGCGGTCAAGGGAGTTGCTCTCTCGACCACCTGTCAGCCTACCCCCCTCTCTCCTTCCAGTACTCTGACCTCTTCCTCCTTACCAGGCAATGAGCTTCACGAAGTTGTCATTGAGGGATATGCCAGCGTTGGCGTCGAAGATGGACGAGTGGGAGTCTCCGATGAAATCCGTAGAGACGACCTGTGCGTCAGAATTTCAAAGATAAGGGTGGGTAATAGAGAAGGACCCAGAGCTCAGGCTCTTAGACACATTGCCCATACATTCATCTAAGAGGGGACCATGAGCTTGTGTCTTGATTACCAAGATCTCGTCGACTTGGGCCCTCAGAACAGTGTCTTAAGTGGAAGGAACTGCAAACACATAGGCCTGAGCTTATAGTGGTGGAAGGCCACAGAAAGGTTTTCAACAGTGGGGGTGCTTTGATGCCATTAAAACGAGAACCTGGCTTTTGTGTGAGGGTGACCTGCAGGATCTAAACCAGGCACAGCACCAAGTAAGGCCCAACACCAAGGCTGATGCATAGAAAAGGCATGTGACATCAACTCAAGAAAGGCATCTGGCATACCTGGCTCTAAAGAAGTGTTGAAAAATGGGAGTAATAGTTGTCCTTGGTTCACTAAACATGTATTGTGCACAGGGATACATCTGGAGCTACAGAAGTGAAACGATAGTTCTTAAATTTCTGTTTTCTTGGAGTGTACATGCTATTGGTGCCAATAGTGACAATGAAATAAAGTTTCTGGTGACGAAAAGAGCCACAGAAAACATCCTGAGAGGGAGCCTTGCAGAGGAGGGGGATTGAAGTAGAGACCTGGAGGAAGTGAGGGCAGACCTGTAGCCAAACGGGGGAAAAGTGTTACAGATCAAAGGAGCAACTAGTGCAAAAATCCTGAGGCAGGGAAGTCTTGTTTTCTCAGCCCTGCATTTCCTACCTTGGTACAATGAAAGCAGCTTTTGAGCAAGTGGAAATCACAACCCCTCCACAGAGGGTGCCCCCCAAGTCTCTTCAGCCCCTGCCTACCTGATCCTCCGTGTAGGCAAGGATGCCAGCCAAGGGCCCATTGGCTGCTGCTTTTACGGCTTCCTTGATGGCTGAGTAGGGGGCACCCTTGGCCAGGCGGCAAGTCAGGTCCACAACAGATACGTTTGGGGTTGGCACTCTGAACGCCATTCCTGTTAGCTTCCTGGAGAATCCCACATTGGGGGTGGGAGTCAGAGCCCAAGCACTTCTGCCTCCATTGCCTATTGCCTTGGGGCATGGCCAATCCCTATTCTTCCCTCAAGAATTAGGGCTAGTTCAGTCCTCCCATGGTGTGTCCCCACCCCCTGGTTGCAGCATCCTGTCCTCATACCCTTTGAGCTCTGGGATGACTTTGCCCACAGCACTGGCAGCCCCAGTGGAGGCTGGGATGATGTTCTGGTGGGCACCCCGTCCATCTCGCCAGGCCTTCTTTGATGGTCCATCCACTGTCTTTTGGGTGGCCGTGTAGGAGTGGACTGTGGTCTTGGGGAAGAAAGGGCTGAGGTGAGGCCTTCCTACTCCTAAGCTCCCATGCCTCCTTCTCTTAGGATTGGGGTGGAGGCCAGTGGGGCCATCACCACAGACCACAGGAGAGGCATGTACAGGCCAGAGGACTAACATTGTTAAAAGGCTTCTCCATTGTTGGGCCTCTTTCTGAAACCACTCTCCCTGCTAATTCCATACATACTGTAAGCAAGGTCTGGGAAGAAGAAGGGGGGTTTCCTTGTCGTCCCTCCCGCCTCAGCTCCAACTCACCCCTTAGCTCCAACTCACCATCAGTCCTTCCAAGATTCCAAATCGTTCATGGATGACCTTGGCAAGGGGGGCCAGGCAGTTGGTGGTGCAGGATGCATTGCTGCAATGACCCAGGTGTACAAGGGCACTGTAAGCTGACTTGCAGAGCCACCCCTTCATCCTGACCCTATTGGGTTTGCACCCAGGTCTGGTTTTGTGAAAAGTCAGGATGGGGACAAAAGGGCTCAGTGGGGGTGCTGTCTGATTAAGGAGGCACCGCTGGTGCCTAGGGGAAGCTCCCTAAGCATGTTTTCCAGAAGTTGTGCATTTCTAATAGGTAGTTTCAGGGTGACATTAACATTGTGGCTGGTGAGACTTAGGAATAAAGAAGCAGGAATAGGTTGATGTGAAAGAAACACCAGGGATCAAAGGTGGGAGTGGGGGCAGGGAGTGTGAGTCCCTCCTCTTCACAGGCTGGCATGTCCTGCAGGCACTTGTCACACTTCAGAATGTTGCTGCCCCTGTTACCTGACAATGTTCATGGAGCCAGGGGCATAGTTCTTCTCATTCACACCCATGACGAATATTGGTGCATCCGGTGAGGGTGCGGTGATGACGACACGTTGGGCCCCTGATGTGATGTGTGCCTAGGGATTGAGCCCAGGGGTCAGGTGTTTTATGTGCAGTGCCCCCCAGCCAGCCCTGGGCACATGTCCCCCACTTACTGAAGCTGCATCTAAGGACAGGTACACGCCTGTGGATTCCACCACGTAGGGGCTCCCGACAGAATTCCAGGGGATTTCTTTGGGTTCCTTGCTGCAGAGGGGTGGAAGGGCTACGAGTCAGTGTCCCCTGCGTGGCCTCGCCTTCAGAGTGTACACAGCTTTCACCATTTGAAAGACCTCCTGCCTGGTCTGCAGTCACCTGTTGCCCTGTCCCATGCAACTCACCCCTAGCTACCCCCAAAACACACCTAGCTACCCCAAACGGACGCCATCTTGCTGGCCTTTTCATCATTGTCCCCTTGTAGACCACTTTTCCTTTCTTGCCTGCACCAACCCTGCTGTGCCTAGGTATAGGCTGCTACTTCCCCAACTCAGGCCTGACTTCCTTAGGGGGACTATACCTGGCTTTGCCCCGTGGGCTCAGACCTGCTCAGCATAATGCTGCCGGGACTGTGTACCTTGTGACAGGCCTTCTGGTCCCCAGCCCTGACCTCCTCACCAGGAGCCCTCATAGCCCCTTTTGTCTTGGCCACCTAGCTCCTGCAATAGGGAGTCTGCTGTCAGAGACCAAGAAGTCCTTGAAGACAGACACCTGCATCCCGAGAGTGGCCCTGGAGCATTGTGGCTGAGACAGCCCTGTGACTAGCAGTGGCAAGTGGTTTATAGTAGAATAGTGAAGGAGGATTTCTGTTCCCTGTTATATAAATCTACATAACATGACATTTTGACAAATGTTTGTATCTTAAACATTGGATATCTACCATTACAATATTCTTCTTGGCTGCAGCAAGCAGTGAATGAATCAACTGTATGCTAGTCTCATCCTTTACATAAATATCAGGGATATTGGCTTCTATAATTGCATCTAGACCATTCTATAATTTGTCGTCTAGACCATTCCATAGCATAGGGCAGGATCTATTTCCTTTGCTGTTGAGCCTGCTTCTTGCCATGGCCTTCAGTCAATCAATGTTGGTAGTGTAGTTTTGTTATAGCCATTCTGCACACACTTACTTGAACGCCTGTCATATGCCTGTGTTCTGAGCTTTTACCTGCATGTAACCTTCAAGACCTGAGAAGTAAGTACTATTGTAATTTTTTTTTCTTTTTCTTTTTTCTTTTCTTTTTTTTTTTTTTTTTTTGCAGGGGCCAGAGTCAGGTCAGAGAGGAAGGGAGTAAGTAGAAGAGCCAGTGGAGGGTGCAGGTCAGCACTCCTAGTTTTGCTGCCTGAATAAATGAATAAATAGCCTCTCCTCTTCTCCCTGGCTATGGCACATGATTATTCTCTCCCTGCTCAGTCATCTGCTCTCTCAGTCCACACTTTTCATTATCTGGCCCAACTCGCTCTTCTCTGATGTCCCACATTTTCTACCTTCCAAGTTGGGGGCACTTAAACAATTTCTTCTATAGCAATTGCTGAACTGGCATGGGACAGAGTCAGCCTTCAAAAGACCCCAGCCCATCACAGGCCCTCCCTCCTGCCTACAGGATTATTGTGAGAATTTCATTCATTCTGTTTTCTTAAAATATTTTTTTAAATTGTAGTTGGACACAATTATTTTTATGTGATGCTGAGGATCGAACCCAGTGCCTCACATGCGAGGCAGGCGCTCTACCAATGAGCTACAGCCCCTCCATTCATTCTTCAAGGAAGTAACGAGTGACCACATGGGCCAGGACCTGTACCTGCTAGTGCCAAAGCAACAACAGTAAGCGCAAACCAATAGGGCTCTCCCTGCAAGTAGGTGCAGACTTGTGGGAAAACACCCTTCCAAGTGTTTCACAAATGCCTGTTAACTCCACTGGAGCTCTCAGCTACTGCAGTGGAGGACATGATCATTATCCCCATCGGATACATGAGAGAACTGAGGCTTGGGCAAGTTTGATCCCTTGCCCAAGGTCACCCAACTGGGAAGGGTAGGGAGGGGCAGAATGCACGTGCAAACAGCTTGTGCTAAGTGCTGGAGAAGACCAGCAGGGCGTTGGAGAGGGGCGTGGAGGAGAACTAGGCTGAAGGCCTTGCAGGAGGCTGTGAGGGTTGATGGCGCCTGTGTGCGTGCTCACGTGTACATATGTAAGAGGCTGAAGCAACCACAGGATCAGCAGTGGCTCATTATATTAGAAAGTTAAGTAGGTGTAATATTTCCCATTTTATAGATTTTGATTCTTTTGATATTTGAGAATGTTTATATTTGAAGCATACTAAGGTAATGTTACTGCTTTTGCCTTATAGAACCTATCTTTTAAAGAAGAGTGAAATTTACTATGAGCAGGAACTGTGTAAAGTGGGAACTCTGAAGTTAGCATTGTTTGGGTGTGAGAGGTGCAGGCTCAGGATCCCAAGAGGTGGGTGGCTAGTATGGCCAAGGGGATGAAAAGGCTGCAGGTGGGGTGCGCAGTGTGTGTGAGGCCCATCAGGAGCTGGGACCTAATTTGTGGATGATGAGAAGCTACTGTGAGATTTACCAGGCTCGTTGGATGTTTTACAAAGGCCTCAGGCTCCTGAGTAGAACCCTAGTGGAAGGAAACAGTCATGCTCTTCAGAGAGAGTGGTCTGGGGGTTAAAGTTGAGTTGTAGACAAGGTGAGTTGATAGGCCTGTGGCAAGATGTGCAAATGTGTGTTAAATACAGTTCTGGAGCACAGTGGGGCATCTTAAAGATTAGTGTTTCTGAACCATTTTTGAGGTCAAGGACCTTTCTGAAACCCTTTCTCCAGACTAGTACCAGAAGCATACACACACAATTTGGGGAATTATGAACCCATGTGAGGCTAGAATCCTCTGCCTTACTGTGCTGCAGACATGTATCAGACCTGTTGCCCTTACCACTGGAAGACAGCGATCTCCTGGTTGTTCACAAACAGCTTTCCATTCTTGCATTCCACATTCCCCTTGTATCTGCCGTGAGTGGAGTCATACTTAAACATGTACACCTGCAGGAGACAGAATGGACTCTAGTCTTGGAGGGGCAAAGTGAACAGCCCTGGAGTGAACCTGGGTGAAGGTTCCACATTGGAGCAGGGAGCCTTCCATACTGGAACCCCCTCCCCACCCCAGTCCCACCCTTTCTGGCTCTCTCCTGTACCTGCTGCTTACCATGTATTCTGGGTCAATGAATGGGTCGTTCACTGCCACCACCTTAACTCCCTTTTCCACGCAAGCTCGCAACACCAGGCGACCAATGCGGCCAAATCTGTCCAGGAACAGGCAGAGGAGGGGGTGGGAAAGAAAAGGGTCATGGGGATGCTGTGGTTTCAGTATTCCCACCAAACTCAAGTTGAAATGTAATTCCACTATCAGGTACTAAGAGGTGGTGGTGGCTTTTGGAGGTGAGACTTTGGGAAGTAATTAAGGTTAGATGAAGTTGTGAAGGTGGGACCCCCATGATGGCATTAGTGGCTTTATAAGATGAGGAAGAAAGGTGGAAGCTAGCATGCTTCCTCTGTCTCATCATGTGAGCTCTTCCCTACCATCAAGAAGGGTCCTTCTCTATGTGACCCCTTGACCTTGGACTTCCCACCCTTAAGAACTGGAAAAAATAAATTTTGTTTTCTTTATAAATTACCCAGTTATAGCAACAGAAAACCAACTAAGGGGAGGGGGCCCACTCAAGGGAACTGGGTGACAGTACCCACTTTAGGGAAGAAGGCAGTCACCTCTTTGCAGGCCACAGTCATCTCTTGTGCATGTGAGCTCACCAGCTTTTTACGTGCATAGTCTGCGTCCTCTCCCTCTCTGTACCCTGTCCTCTAATCTTAGCTGGGTGGATCTCTTAAAAATTCAAGTTAGATTTTGTCTCTTGGCCTGAGAACCTCCACAACTGTCTATCAGTAAAACCCCTGCTTGGTATACCTTCTCCCTTCCCCTCCCGCTTGCTGGCTTTAAACCTGCTACACTGTGAGGCTGTCCTTAAACACCCTGAGCCTGCCTCTTCCATCCCAGAGCCCTTGCTGTCCCTCTTCTGGGAAGACTTTTTCCCCAGCAAGGTACCCAGCTGGCTGCCTTTTTTTAGTTGTAAATGGACACAATAATTTATTTATTTTTAGGTGGTGCCAGGGGTAGAACCCAGTGCCTCATGCATGCTAGGTGAGCCCTCTACCACGGAGCCACAACCCCAACCCCCTGGCTGCTTTCTGTCACCAGGCCTCCCTTTCATGTCACCTTGGGTTTGCAGGCCAGAGACCTTCCCTGACTGCCCTCTCTGTCCTTACACCACTGAGGTCTGTATGTTGATAGAACACAGCAGTGAACTCTCCTGTTTCTTTGATTACTGTCTTCACCCAGAGTGTGGGCTCTCCCAGGCCCTGTCTCCTCTACTCCCTGCTGTTTTTCTGGGCTGGCAGAATGAGCCATGGTGGTGAGAAATGGGGAGATTCCCAGGCCTGTGACTTCTGCAATAGCTCAGGTGCCAGGGTGGACTCACCCATTGATGGCTACTTTCAACTCCTGAGGTGGAGGGTTCTTGGGGGGTCGTGGCGGTGGAGGCGGAGGTGGAGGAGGCGGGGGAGGTGGCTTTCCCTCTTCCTTCACTGTAGGCAGTGGTTTAGGCTCAGGTTCAGGCTCTGGTTCTGGCTCACATGCGGGTGGTGGTGGTCTGGGCACTGTGGGGAAGGGGGACAGTAGGGGGGGAAGGTCATGAGCTTCGCACCTTGTAAAGGAGAATGAACCCTCTTTGTCACCCAGAACTGGTTGCTGGCTCCTGGCCCCTGGTGGCCACTTATGTAGCCCATGTTTCCTGACCCATTTGACCCACGAAAATGAGCAAGAGGTGTGGTGGCTTTAAAATATCAACGGCAGGGCCCCTTCTCTGGAGATTCTGTATTTTTAGCGGTTGGTTGGAGATGTATTTCTGTGAAATGAAGATAAAATAATACTTTCTTTCAGCCATCACTGTGAAGATTAAATGAGGTAATATGTGTAGTGTTGAGGAGACAGCCTAGAAAATATTCCACATGTTAGTATTTCAAAGATTGTTTCCTAAACTTGTAATTGATCTAGTCCACTTGTCCCCAAACTGTTCTGATGATAAAACTTACTGGGAGAGGCCTCTTCCTACAAAAATCTTAATTCAGAGGGTCTGTACTGAGGCCCAGGAATCCCATTTTTAACAAGAACTCAAGGTGGATATTACCCTCGTGGAAGTGTAGGAGATAGACTGTATTATACAAACCAAGTGGAAACTCTTATTGGCTCCTACCTCCTCACTCCCACTCCTAGACTGAGCTTAAACACCTGTGCCTGGAGATGAGCATCCACCTGAGCTACAGGTAAGAAGAAGGAGGAAGAATTAAGGTGCATTCAGGGGACCTGGATGGTAGAGGGTTTCAAGCTGGAAATCAGACCTGGATGCCAGCTCTGGCTCAGTCACACCGCTGTGTGGTCTTGGGCAAGTTAATATTTCCTGGGTGTCATGTCCCACCCTCTGCAGGCTACTGGGAGAGTTCAGTGAGATCAAGACCAGAGTAGCACTGACTTTAATAGAGGAGGGCGGGAAGTCAGACTCTGTGAGGATTTGTGAAGGGAAAGAGAGGAGGCCGGAAAGGGGTGGAGGGTGTTGGTGGGAGCTGCTTTGGGCAACTGGAATCAAAAGTACCCCAGGCAGTGGTGGGACCGGAGCTGGGGGCCAGTGGGCTTACTTGTCCCCCTGACCTCTCCCTGCTGCCACAGACCTGTGGCCTGAGGCTGCACTCTGGGTGTTTCCAGCAACAGTGCGGGTTCATAAGGAACTAGTCAATGCTTATGGGGAGCAGGGGTCCTCTGCTCACTGGGGATGTTTGCACTCCTGGAGGTTCTTCGGCTGTCATCAAAGGGGAGATGTGTCCTGGTTTAAAAGTGGTCGTCTGTGCCCAACCAGCAAACTTTCAGAAGAAAACTGCCCCCTGGTGCTGTGTCTCACTGGGGCTCCCGGATCCTGGAGCCCTGGGGAAACTTGGCTGCCCCAGCCCATCTACCCCACCATGCCCTGGCTTCCCTTAGCCTCCACCTGGGGGAAGTGAGGAAGGGGAGGGAATGGGGTTATCTGGCTTGAGAGTGTGTGTGTGTGTGTGTGTGTGAATGCACTCATGTGTGCACACACCTCTGGCTGGGTGAGGCAGGACTGCCTGGTGGCTGGTAGCAGGAGTCTGGAGTCCCCAGGCTCTGGGTGCAATACCAACATCTCTGCCTCTTGGTTAGAGATTGGGAAATGGTTTGCCCTCTCTTAACCTCTGGTTGTCCTTCTGAAATGAGGACGGTGAGCACACTGGTCTGGGTGAAGGTGTGCCTGTAAAGTGATTCTTGCGGCCCCAGAGGGTTGAAATGTTGGTCCTTTGTGCAGGACAAGGAGAACAAATCCACCAGCGCTTGCAACGGCCCCTTTCTGGCTGGTTGATGCAAGGGAGCATCAGTGTACTGTCAGAAGCCCACCCGCCCGGTCCTTCCCTCAACTGCCCCTCATACACCTACCCTCTTTTCATCACCTTTGTCCCTGTCCCTGCCCTTCCCACCCACTGCTCGTGGCGCAAAATTCTGCCAACTCAGCGGGCAAAGAACCCTTCCCCTCTGCGGTCACCGCAGGCCGGGAGGAAAGCGGCTCCTGGAGGAGGGGGACTCGCGGATGCGTGGCGGCCCCCCCCCCCCTCGCCGACCCCAGGAGGATGGGCCGCGAGCGCCCGTAACGGGGCGTACGGGGGTCTCCCCGCAGCTTCTCTCACCCTGGCACGGCTGTCGCAGCAGCTGGACAACGGTGACATTGGTGAGGATGATGTCGCGTTTCGACATGGTGTCCTAGGCCTAGCCGCCCCGGGACCTGCGGTGATGTTACTGAGTTGCGGGGCACCGGGTCTAGAGCTTCTAAGCAAGATGTCACGGTGCCCAGTGACGTCACAGAGGAGGCAGTGCGCAGGCCGCAGCACTTGGGCCTACCGCCGCCCCACCCGCCTGGAGCTGCTGGACGACCTCCCTGTGCGCCACCATTCCAAGGGCACCCGTGGGATCTGGACTGGAACCCACCTTTTCACACGGGCACTCATAGCTCTTTTCTCCCTTGACCTGGTGGCCCCCTCTCCCCGACCTTTGGAGAGTTCCCTAGCGGTTTCCTTAAGCCTGGAGATGCCTGGAGAGCCCCACCCAGGTCCTTTCGTGGCTGTTCTATGGCCTCCCTCAGATGCCGTTTTTTCTGGCATGCCCCAGGCCCTTTGGGACTCCCCATCTAAAATGCCCTCTTTTCCCAGTGACTATCCGTCCCCACCCGACCCACCACAGTCTCTGCCCATCTTCCAGGAATCCCTGCGTGTGACTCCCCATCCCAGCTCGGATGCTCTAATATGCAAAACTACCGTGGAGCAGCCTGAGAAGCTGAGGTGGGAGACTCGCTGGAGCCCAGAGTCCAGACCAGCCTGGCAGCATACAAAAAGCCCTAAATACTTTAGAGCTGTGCTTTCTATAATTTTATTTCCCTCATGGCATATGGCTAAATATCATCTTTTTATTCATTTATTTCCATGCCAATTTTCTCTGCCACCAGACTCTAAACTCTAGAAGGGCAAGGGCCTTGTCATCTTTGTCACTTCTACAGCTTATTGACTACAAGAGTGTTGGGCACTTGAAAGGTGTTTGCTCAGCATAATTTAGGCCTACCTTGGTGATATTGTAGGTTCAGTTCCAGACCACTGCAATAAAGCAAATATAGCAATAAAGTGAGTCATAGATTTTTTGGTTTCCCAGTGTGTATAAAACTTCTGTGGGGCTGGGGTTGCGGCTCAGCAGTACAGCACCTGCCTCACCTGTGTGGGTTCCATCCTCAGCACCACATAAAAATAAATAAAATAAAGGCATTGTGTCTGTCTAAAAATAAAAAATAAAAAATTCTGTTACTGTTTTCAATTAGTGTGCAAGAGTATGATGTCTGAACAAAACAATGTATACATCCTAATTTTTGAGGTGCTGGGAATTGAACCCAGGTTCTCACACATGCCAAGCATATGCTGTTAGGATGGATCTATACTCCCAGCCCTGCATATCTTAACTTTAAAATATATTATTATTAAAAAACGCTGCCGGGCACAGTGGCACACACCTGTAGTCCCAACAGTTCCGGAGGCTGAAGCAGGAAGATCGCAAGTTCAAAGCCAGCCTTAGTAACTTAACAAGACCCTGTGTCAAATAAATAAATAAATAAGGCTGAGGATGTGGCTCTGAGGTTAAGTGCTCCTGGGCTCAATTCCTGGTATAAAAAAAAAAAAAAAAAATGCTAATTTGTTGGAAAGTAGCACTGTTAGGCTTGCTCCATGCAGGTTCACCACAAACCTTTGATTTGTAAACATGTAGTATCTCCAAAGTACAATAAAGTTAAGAACAAATAAAACAATGTAGGCCTGCACTTGAATGAATAAACAAATGTGGCCTTCAGGTTGCTTCTGATTCCCAGTCTTTTAAGTTAGGGTTAGGGTTAGGGTTAGGGTTAGGTTAGGTTAGGGTTAGGCTGCTTTAGCAGCCTCCGAGTCATATCTTCTCATAGCATCCAGGCTTTTCCTTGTAGGTTTTCTTGTAGTTCCTCATGGGGTACTGGTTCCATATCTCCCCCATTGGCTCTAAGCTCCCCGTGGGGAATGTATTCTGATCTGTTTTGTTCACCATTGTGCTTCAGCACCTAGAACAGTGCCTGGAACAAAGCAGGCTTTCAATGAATGTTTTGGAGAAGAACAGGTAGACAAATGGCTTCTTCCCCAAAGCCCCAGGGGTGGGGGCTTGCTTGCACATCAGTGACTCATAGGCAGACACCTTCACCTGCAGGGCCAGTTGACATGCAGCTGTGATCAAGATTTAAGGGGTGTGAGGGTTTGTGTCAGTTAGGAGTCACCATCCCAGAGAAAGAAGTGGGAGCAAAAAGTCACCGAATGACATAATCTTCTTCCTCAATGTCCACAGGAACTCAGGTTGCCAGAGTGACCTCCATGTGTCAGGAACTGGTGAAGCTCTCTTGCTTGGATGACCTAGGAGAAGTGGAACTCAAAATAAATTGGAGAAAAGATGAGGCAGTTTGAATGAGTGAAGGCCAAAATGCAGTTGGCTAATCAAACAAAGAGGGTCAAACTTTTAACATGCACCATCCAGGAGGGGGAACAACCCAACACAAACAGAACCAAGGCTGAAACGGGACTGATTTTTTTTGTACAACGTCGTAGTAGTAGATTTGAAAATGTAGGTGCAATTGAAATTTTTCTTAGAAAATATAAAGGATCAAAACTGGTGGAAGAGGAGATGGCAAATCCAACTAGGCCAATAACATATATCTTCTCAAAGTCTGAAGAAGATCCAGAAAATTTTTGAGCAGTTCTACCTAAACATGAGGGAACAAACATTTGTCATTCTGTACTAACTGTTGCAGAGCCTGAGTAGTGCTGGGCAGCCCAGTGGCAGCCCCTGTGTGGAGAGGGTCTGGGTAGGGCACTAGCAGTGCGTGGGACGTTCCCTCACAGACACTAGACGAGGGTGATAATCCACACCTGAGGTTTCCCGGGGATTTGCCTTTGTCCCTGCAGCATGAAACTAGGAAACAGAAGCTCAGGTTTGTACAGGTGGCTGGGTTAATCGCCTCTGTTGGCAGAGCCTGGAAAAGGGCAGAAACTTCCGAGTCTCTGGCCTGGGATGGCTGGCTCTGGGTGGAGTCAAGGTCCAGGATCTGGGGTGGAACCCTAGGTCCTCTGAGGGGAGTGGGCCTTGTGCCCTGATTTGAACAAAGCTCAAAAACACGTGTGGATTCTCACCACACCTGGGCACCCACACACATACTCTGCCACCCGCACCTGCTCACGCCCTACACATTCCTGTGTGCCTGGCCTTCCCACTAGCAATCCCCCCGCCCCCCCCCCCCTCAGTGTCATCCTTGGCATCAAAACCCAAATATCTTACGCCCCTGCACCCAACTGTACCCACCCACTGGCTCTCGAGAGCACTCCCCTCAAACTAGCTCCGGGGTAGATAGGCTGCCGCAGACCCACCAGCCTCCGCCTGATCTGGCTTCCAGTGTTCCTCTTCAGCCCTCAGCCCAACTCCCAGCTCTCTCCCTCTCCAACCCGAGTCCATATGTCAACACTCAGGGCTTTGGGTCAGGGCTTCAGAGGCCCCAGGGGAGGAGGGCAGGGAGGAAGAACTCCTGGCCCCCAGCCCACTTTCTGGCTGACAGCTCCTGCTGCCCAAGGTCTTCAGCCCCTCCCCATGGCTGCCTCAACCGGCTTTTCAGGAGACACTGCGTCCTGTCCTAGCTCAGCTCATGGCAATCAGACCCCTGCCCTGGCCTAAGGGCTGGGAGGTGATTGGCCTGGGTTCCATGATGAGAATGTCATCCTGGCTTCAAATGCACAACCCTCCCCAGGGGACCCTATGTTGTCCTGGGGACCCAGGCAGACACCCATCCTTCCAGCCCCCTGTGAGACTCAGGCTCAGGCTTGGATTCTCTTCCCTGGGCTTTTTCAAACCCACCTGTGTGTTCTATCTATAAATATTTACTGAACCCCAGACACTGTCCTAGAAGACAGGGATATAGTGATGCCCAACACAGACGAGGACCCTCTTTTCTGGAAGTTTACAATCTGGTAGGTGAGTCACTTGATAAAAAATAAAGGTGATTTCAGATGGTGCCAAGTCCTTTAGGAACACAAGGGTGATTTTACAGGGTGTAATTGTAACCTCATGTTACTCTCAGGAGTGGGCAGGGATGGTCAGGAAGGTGACATTTGAGCCAAGTACAGAATGAGGAGGAGTTGGCCACCCGAGGCTCTGGGTTCGGAGTTCTACGCAGAGAAAAGATCAAGTGCAAAGAAGAGGGGCCTCAGGACAGTGGTGTGTTTGGGACAAGGCCCTTGTGGCTGCAGAGGAGTAGCTGAGAGTAGGAGCAGGGACAGCTTCAACTGTCCTGGAGTTCTCCCTGACCCCACCGCCCCCAATTGCAAACTCCATCTTTCCAGACTCTCACTAAGCCAGGTGCTTAGATCCCTGAGAGGAGCCACCGTGCCGCAGATCACCCTGGCCCTGGGATGGAGGGTGATTGAAGGTGGGTTTGAGAGAGAGGAGGCCTGGACAGTGGGTGAGAAATGAAGAGGGAGGTGGTTGGCAGGGCAGACACCCTCCTTTGGGGTGGAGAGCCCGAGCCAGGTAAGGAGCAGATATGCCAGGTTCTTCTCCAGGCGTGACTCACCTTGTTTCCTCCTCCTCTTGTTGCTCAATCCCAAATCTCCCTGGGAAATACCTCCTTGACGGGACCAAGTCAGTGCCTTGCAGGGGCAATTGACTCATGAGGGGTGGAGAAGAGGGAGGGAGCAGAGGATAAATAGCAGCCTTGCTTCCCGGGCTCCTCTCTGCATCCCCCCACCTCCCCAACACCATGCGCCTTGCCAGTCTTCTCAGCTCCTGCTGCCTCCTACTGCTCCTGGGGGCCCTGCCCGGATGGGCAGCCAATGATGACCCTATCGAGAAGGTCATTGAAGGGATCAACAGAGGGCTGAGTAATGCAGAGAGAGAGGTGGGCAAGGCCCTGGAAGGCATCAATAATGGAATCACTCAAGCTGGAAGGGAAGTGGAAAAAGTTTTTAATGGACTTAGCAGCATGGGGAGCCAGGCCGGCAAGGAGGTGGACAAGGGGATCAACCACGGCTTGGACAAGGTAGCCCATGGGATCAACAATGGCGCCGGGCAAGCAGGAAAGGAAGCAGAGAAGTTTGCCCATGGGGTCAACAACGCTGCTGGACAGGTTGGGAAGGAGGCAGACAAAATGATCCATCATGGGGTCCATCATGGGGTCAACCAGGCGGGAAGTGAAGCAGGGAGGTTTGGCCAGGGGGCCCACCACGCCATGGGGCAGGCTGGGGATGAGGCTGGGAGGTTTGGCCAGGGAGCCCACCATGCTTTTGGTCAGGCTGGGAAAGAGGCGGAGAAGTTCGGTCAGGGGGCCCACCATGCTTTTGGTCAGGCTGGGAAAGAGGCGGAGAAGTTCGGTCAGGGGGGTCACCATGCTTTTGGTCAGGCTGGGAAAGAGGCGGAGAAGTTAGGTCAGGGGGGTCACCATGCTTTTGGTCAGGCTGGGAAAGAGGCAGAGAAGTTTGGCCAGGGGGCCCACCATGCTTTTGGTCAGGCTGGGAAGGAGGCAGAGAAGTTTGGCCAGGGGGCTCAGAATGCTTTTGGTCAGCCTGGGAGGGAGGCAGAGAAGTTTGCTAAGGAGGGCAACCATGCTTTTGGTCAGCCTTCGAAGGAGGCAGAGAAGTTTGGTCAGGGGGCCCACCATGCTTTTGGTCAGGCTGGGAAGGAGGCAGAGAAGTTTGGTCAAGGGGTCCACCATGCTGCTGGTCAGGCTGGAAAGGAGGTGGAGAAGTTTGGTCAGGGGGCTCACCATGCTTTTGGTCAGGCTGGGAAGGAGGCAGAGAAGTTCAGTCAGGGAATCCGCTACGCTGCTGGTCAGGCTGGAAATGAGGGAGAGAAGTTTGGTCAAGGGCTTCACAATACTGCGGGCCAGGCTGGGAAAGAGGCAGAGAAATTAGGTCAGGGGGCCCACAATGCTTTTGGTCAGCCTGGGAGGGAGGCAGAGAAGTTTGCTCAAGAGGGCAACCATGCTTTTGGTCAGCCTTCGAAGGAGACAGAGGGGGCCCACCATGCTGCTGGTCAGGCTGGGAAGGAGGCAGAGAAAGTGATCCCAGCGTCCCAGCATGGACTTAGCCATGCAGCAGAGGAGGCGCTGCAGTTTGGCCAGGATCCTCATCCTGTTGCAGGGCAGGTTGGGAAAGAGGGAGGCAAAATAACCTATAGTGTCCATCCTGGTGTCAACCAGGCTGGGAAGGAGGTGGAGAAGTTTGGCCAGGGAGTTCACCATGCCGTTGAACAGGCCGGAAAGGAAGCAGACAAAGTGGTCCAAGGGGTCAACAATGGGGTCAACCAGGCCGGGAAGGAGGCAGAGAAATTTGGCCAAGGGGTCAACCATGCTGCTGGTCAGGCCGGAAAGGAAGCGGAGAAACTTGGCCAAGGTGCCCACCATGCTGCTGGCCAGGCCGGGAAGGAAGTGGACAGGTTGCAGAAGGATGTTCATAATGGGGTCAACCAAGCCAGCAAGGAGGCCAACCAGCTGCTGAATGTAGGTGAACAGGGGCGGGGAAACTGGGGAGAAGGGGGTTGTGGGAGGGAGAGGTTAAACCCTGGGATATTTGGGGAGCCCGTATGTAGCCTTTGGTGAAAGATGCCTGGGGCAGTCATATAACTCTGTTCCCCTTCTTCCTCTGCATCTCCCTTACTAAGGAGCTGGTGGTCAGCTGGATTAAGCCATTTTATCTGTAAAGTCCCACCTCAGATAATGTGGAAGGAGCCTAGTCCCACCTGAAGGGAGTTTCTCTCCTAGTTAAGGGGGCCTGCAGTGAGGGTCACGGGGCTTCTCCTGGAAACAGGAAACAGTTATGAAATCAGATCTCTGAAGTGCAAACAGAATGAGTGTTGAGAAAACCCAAGATTGTAACAGGGAGGGTGAGGAACAGCTTTGGAGATGAGCTCTGTTCTGCTTCATCTTCATAACAACACTCTGAGGTAGTCAGGGTGAGGATGCTGACTCTCCGATGCTCAGATAAGGACAGGGAGGCCCAGAGAGGCTAAGGGCATTTGCCAAGGTCATGTGGCAAGTGCACAGCTTTGGCGACTGGCAGGTCAGGGTTCTCCTTCCTCTGCACTGCTGATCAGGGAAGGCCTCTGCCCACGTATGTAGAGGAAACACGTTGGAGGCCAGATAAACAGTGACACTGACAACAGAGCAGGTGACAAGGAGGGACCTGGAGGACAGCCTTCTCCGACCTCCACCAACAGTCCTTGGGATCAGCAAGCTGGGAGACCATCTTGAGGATGGACCCAGTCTCAAAGCCCAGAGTCACATCTGCTGTCAGGCAGGAAGCCAGGGGTTGAGAGGAGGGAGAAGGGGGGAGAAACAGGATAGAAAGGGAGGCAGAGAGGGTCTGGAGTCAGGCTGCCCAAGCAGAGCCAGGAGAGGGTGGTCTGTTGGAGGATTCTAGGTGGCCCTTGCTAGGGCGTGGGGTGTGGCTAAAGTACCACTGCTGAGTGACTGGGGATGGGGACAGGGATAGGGATCAGCCCGAGTTAGGGTCGAGGCTGAATTGTGTGTAGACGTGTTGATTTGGGGTCGAGGTCTGTGAAGGTCCTCGTATGTGCACGGGGGCTCTGGTTCTCCTCCCAGTGAAGCCCCTTCTCAGTGGCTGGGAGCCTTTATCTAGCACCAAAGCCAAAGGGAGCCTGGGAAAGACCAGTCGGGAGATGACAGATCTCCTTCCTGGGCTTATTCCCATCTCCATGAAATCCTCATGGCAACATGGACTTTGGGTTTTCTCTCTGGACAGTGAGCGAGGAGGCCAAGGGGTCAGACTGTGCCTCCCCCCAGCCCGAGTCAACCTAGATGGGGGCAGGTCACTAGGGAACAGGAACTTAGGAAACCCTCAAGGGTTGGGGGGTGGTAGTGACCATCTGGGCTTGTCCACAGAGCAGTCATCAAGGAAGCGGGGCTACCGGCCAGCACGGAGGGGGCGCAACCACTACATTAGCATCTGGAGTAAGTCTTCTGGGCACTGCATGCACTTGGTGGGGGGAGCGGGGAGTCCTGGGGTTCCACCTAGGATGGGGTGGAGGCTGGGGACTAACCCTCTCGTCCTTGAATTTCAGGCCTCGGTCAACAAGCCCTTCATCAACTTTCCAGCCCTGTGGAGGGTGAGTGTCTGCAGAGTTTCTACCTCCTGCCTTGCATCTGGAGAGAGAGCCTACACCCCTTTCCCGTTGCCTGCTCGTGGACGGCTTTCCTGTGGGCAGACTCAGCCTCTGCAGAGGCCACCCGACCTGTTCTCCCAGCTCTGGTCTTCCCCTTTGTCGCCTGCTCTCATGCCTGTGCTCAGCTTTTGGGTGCTTTCCATTCTCACAGAAGCTGGCAGAAATAACTTCCAGAACGCTCGCACAGAGGCAGGGGGCGGTGGGGGTACAGCTGCTGAGTCCGGCCTTTATGTGGCCACCTTGCTCCCCTCCATCTCTCCCAGCTGGCTCCCCTCCCACCCCCGCCCCCCCAGTGAGCCCCTCTGCTGCCCTGCTCTTGCTGCTTTGCCTCAATGTGCTGGGTTGTGGGAACTTGGGGCTCTGTTCTCTGGTTGAGAGTGTAAAGGCTCCTGTGGGGTCCTGGTCCTCTCTCTGGGCTAGAAGTCCCAGCTTTTTCTATGTATTTAGTGCATAAGTTGCCTGAGACTGGGGTGCACAGCTGGGATGCCCCATCTAGGCACCTGGAGCTGGAAGACATACCCTTGTGGATCCCCTGGCTCTGGGGTTGACAGAGGATCCTCTGACATAAATGCACAGGGCTTCTCCATTCCTACAGAGGCGCCCAGCCACTCGGGAGGGCTAGCTCCCTGTCTTCCAAAAATCGAGATAACACCTTCCTTAAGATATTCCCAGAACATAAACAATTCCCAGGCCATAGTAACCAGTCTTCCTCTCCGTGCCCGGGGAGGGTGGGGCAGGGCTCCTGCTCCTCTCAGCTAGAATCCTACACTCACTTTCTCTCTCCTCTTTTCTAGAGCGTCGCAAACATCATGCCCTAAACTGATGCCCTGGCCTTCCTGAGCAGATAAATGTTCCTCTTGTCACACCAGCTGAAATAACCCGGAGGAGCTGGGGGTGGGCATAGATTCTCGGAGTCCCTTAAGGGGGCTGTACTAAGATTTGTGAATAAAAGTGACACAGTGTCCTCTTCTCATCATGGTCCCCTGTGCTCCCTAAAGAGGGATGGGCGGGGATGGGAGGGGGGACTTGTAATTCTTCATCTTGTTCTTTGCTGAAGGAATTGGGGGATCACTGCTCAGGATGGGTTGCACTGGAGATCTCAGGCTTATTGACTTGAAGAGGGCAGTTCACAGGGACACACTACGCTTTGCTAGTATGCTTGGCACTGGGAGGGCACCCATGCAGGGAAGCCACTGCCTGTGAACAGCGGGGACGGGAGCACCCAAGAGAGAATGGAGGAGCCTAGGTGGAGCCCAAGCGGGTAGCGTACTCACCCAGGGGGGATGTGGCACCCAAGGAATAACAATAATAGCTTGTATTAATTGTGCAATAAAGACGTGCGGGGAGCTTGGCATGAATGACATCACTGAATCCTCCCAAGCACCCAGTTAGGTAAGAGGTACTGCCACTGCCTCCAATTTATAAGAAGGCACGTGGAGGCTTGCACAGGTTGGGAAACACGGCCAAGGTTACATGGTCAGTAAGTGGACCCAGTGAGTAAGGAAAGAGGACAGAGAGGCGCGTGGGAAGGTCTCTCTGGGGAAGGAGAGGGGAGGGATGAGAGGCTCAGGCAGGAGACACATTAATGACCTGAGGGAGGGACTCTACCAGTGACAAAAGGTGTCTGGAGGCAGCTCACTGCCCCCTAGGGGCTACAGTTTCCTGCTGTATAAAAGGGGAGTGAGGCGTCTGCAGGGGAGGACCGCCATGTTGCTTCCAGCTTCCAGATTCCCTCAGTGGTGAGCGGCCCCAAATAAGGCTTTTGCCTTTGGGAAATTGGCCTTCCTGGAGATGCATAGCCTATGAAAACAAACCTGAGACAGAGCATTAAGTAAGTGACCCAAGAGGGAGGGGAGGGGCCTGCATTTGCACAATAAAGGTGATATTCCTGACACTTGAGATTCACTCTCCTTTTCCTTGTTGGCAAAATAACATTTTATTCCATCTGTTTCTTCTCTGGCCTGCAATATTTTATTTTGAAAATATTTCAAACATACCAAAAAGATGAAAGAATTTTACAGTGGACACCTGCTCTCACCACTTACATTTGGCCATTAGCTTTTTATCATGTTTGTTTGCGCACACATCTATGCATCTAACTGTGTTATTAATATATTTTTGATGCATTTCAAAGTAAATTGCAGACAGCTGTTGGCTGCACTTTGATAAATAGAATCACTCATTCGTATGAGGCATTTATTGAGTGTCTCCTTTTACGGCACTGTTTCCTATGCACTGGGGAAGTCCTTCCTGGAGGCAGGGATTACATTTTCAAAGACAGTATTGAAGGGTACCATTCATTCTCTTATCAAGTAAAAGCTTCCATTAGCTGGATTTTGATGCACACTTTCTGGCCGGCTCTGTTTAGAGGGGATTCCTGGAAGGACAAAGAGACATGAAACAAACTATGAGCTGATGATGGTCCCTGGAAAGCGAGAGCTCTGGGCTGATTTTGAAGGGTAAAGGAGACACACAGGGTCAAGGGTCTTCTCCTGCCTGGAGGCCTTTACTTCTGTCCCCTCTGTGGGGAATGTTCTCCATGCCTCTCGGTCTCCCAGGTTGGCTCCTCCTCACCCTCAGGTCACTGCTGCCTTGGCCATCCATCCCAAACATCTCCTGCCCTTGTCATTGTCTCTCCAGGTACCCTGATCTTGTCCTTCAAGTCACTTGCGACAATTTGTAATTGGATTACAAACATAACTTGTCTAACATCCACTCCCCACTAGACTAGGAGGTTCAGGAGGTGAGGTCAAGGTCAGCACAAATACCTGGCATTTGAGCAACTGGGCCTGAGCAGACTTGGCAAAGGCCATGGAATAAGGGTGAGCAAGAACTGGGCTGCTTGGCCAAGAAGGGTGGGGATAACAGAAAGGGCCAGTTTCTGCAGATGATGAAGAACAGGGAGAGGAGTTTGGGAGGGACTCTTGTAGCGTCTTTATTGGGTGCTTACTGGGTCTGCGCTAAGCACTTACAGACATGATTCATCCCTTCCCCACAACCACCTCATGGGGCAGGCGTACCACCATCACCCCTTCCTGGATGATGGGAGATAGGCTCAGGGAAGGGACAGAGTTGCCTGAGGCCACTCAGCCGGTGGTGATGGCAGGGCTCTAATTCAAGAGTGCTTCCCTGCTAGTAAAGTGCTAGTGAGGTGCCTGCTTCCCCATGATCTTCGGCAAGGGAGAGGGGCTATTTCAAAATAAGTCCTCTTTTAAATAAAAAGCATTTCTGCCTTTGGCCTGCTCAGGACATGCACATGTGCATATGTAAATGTCAAAATTAAACAATCACCAATAAAGTATTCTAGCAATACCAACACCCCAACAATCCCAAGAATACGTATTGAGATCTTCTGTCTGCCAAACCCTTTTCTAAAATCTGTTACATGTGCTATTTCAGTTGATCCTCATGTTCGCCCAGTTTGACAGACAAGGGATAAAGACGGATAAAGATCATGACTAATAAATCAAAACTACATTGAGGTTCTATCTCACCCCCGTCATAATAGCTGCTAAAGAGAGATCTGCATACCTGTGTTTATCGTGGCGCTGTTCACAATAGCCAACTCATGGAATCAGCCTAGATGCCCATCAACGAATGAATGGATTAAAAAGACGGAGTGTATATACAATGGAATTTCATTCAGCCATAGAGAAGAATGAAATTTGCAGGAAAATGGATGGAACTAGAGACCATTATATTAAGTGATATAAGCCAGACAGAAAGATAAGTATCACATCTTTTCTCTCCTTTGGGGAATGTAGGGAGGGTGGAGGACGACATGAAAGATGAAGGGTTGATTAGGGAAGAGGAAGGGGACTCAGGAGAGGGGAAAGGCGGGTTAGAGAGAAGTAGGAAGGGTGGGTCAATAATAGCATATTATATACATGTATGGAAAGGTCACAATGAATCCTATTAATTTCTATCATTAATATGTGCTAATAATCATATTAATAGGAAGAAGAAAGATCAGAAAGTAAGAATAAATTCTAGAAAAATAAAACAAAAACAAAAAGATCACGGCTAGTGAGTGATGCAGCTGGATGGGAACATGAGGTTCAGGGCAGGCGCCCAGGAGGCAGCTAAGCTGCAGATGCCAGTGTGAGGCCCCGACCCGCAGAAGGGAGCAAAGGCATCCCCCAGACCCAAGGCCTCATCTGCACACTATACTTGAGTCCAGCCTTCATTCTGTTCCTGACGTCTCCTCCTGGTCTCTTATTCTACAAGTCTGTCACCGCAAAGAACTGCACCTGCGCCAAAAGTCCTTATCTGAAGACAATTTTAGATTACAACCATAGATCTATATGTACATTTTTGGTCAAGTACTTGTGTTTATTGTGCACAAAGTTCATACTACATTTCATAACATCCAAGCTTTCTAGATGTCCTGAGGTGACAGTGTATCATAAAAAATAGAGCCAGTGAATTAGCCAACTTGTAAATTTTACATCTTTTTGTTATACCTGATGGAAAAGATGCATCCTGGACATGGAATTGTGATGCCTTGGGCAGTGAGTATGAGGACTGTCGATTAGGCTGCAGCAGAGGGGCAGAAGGAGCATGTAGGGAAAGGCAGGAGCAAGTGCTCAAGGATTTACATTTTGCTGTGACCACTGGTGTGTGCATCTTCTGTACTGTAGGAGCACTTGCATTCACTGGGAACGTGCTTTTTTGCTAATATTTTGATAGTAGAAATCTCAAAATGAACCCTCTTAGAAACATGTTTGGAGTACTCTGTTGCTTTGTCTCATTGTAAATTGAGGATTAAGGGAACACATTATTTTAGTTGTAATTCTGCCAATATGTCTCTCTAGAGGCTTGTTGCCATTTTGGTTTTCAGTGAAGTTTTTGTCCCCAAGAAAGGCAGGATTACAATTTTTCTAACAGGTTGAGTTGGTATAGTATATTCTTGATTATTAAAGCTCCTCATGTGGCTCTGGGATTTTGACTTGGTGATATTCATGGTGTATGTATTGGATATGGAAAATGACAAACCCCCAAATAGTGTGGCCTGGGGAGAGGGGATGAGGGAGAAGGCAATTGATCCTTTCCTTGATCCTTTCCCAATACATTCTTTCCCAGTGATAAGAGGCCAAAGCATTGATCCTTCCCCAAATAAATCCTTTTCCAGATACTGACCATTGACCCTAGACACCCCCATCTTGCCCAGTAAAACAGACCCCAAGTTCCTGAGTGCCCAAATTGACATGTTCATTAATTAAGTCACCTCTCAGTGTAACCTGTGTAAGCACAGCTCCCCCTGGCCAGGGGCTCATTTTCCACGAGGAAAGTGGGTCCATCAGAGGCGTGACTCTGTTCCTGAATAAGAGCTTTTGATGATCCATGAAGTTCGCATCTGGTCTGATCCTTTTGTGCTAACGGTATGGAAAAGCTCGATACACACTGTGATCTCAGTCACACAAAATGGGACCCTTGTGTGTGCACACAGGACACATCTAACTAAGTTGCTTGTGGATGACTCTGTTCTTTGCTTGTGTTTTTCTGTTTCCTGTAATGCACACATTAACTTTTAAAAAAACAAAAGATCACAGTGGTCCCCCAAATCCCAGAATCTAGCCCTTTGATGTCTTTTGATCTCAACTCATCCCCCACCCATTCATCCTGTGCTCCAGCCATAGTGGTCCTCAAATAGAGTAAGCAGACTCCAGTCTCAGGGCCTTTGCACTGCTTGGAATACTCTCATTCCTGAATATTCCTGGTTTGTTCTCTACTTCGTTCAGGTCTCAGCTCATTTGTCACATGAAGCAGCCCTTCTCTGACTACCTTATTTAAAATACTCCTCTGTCTTCTCTATTCCCTCCCCACCACTATATTTTTCTTTGCAGTGATCATTACAATCTGATAATCTTATTGTCCAGCTTAACCCACCATGAACTGGAGCTTCTCAAGGAGAATGATGTTGATTTTGTTCTAGCTGTATCCCCAGGGCCTAGAGTACGCATGGCACAGAGTGACTGCTCCATAAATCTTCGTTGAACCAATGAAGTAGTGAATGAGAGAGAAAAGCTGAAACCAGAGGTTTCTTAGACAAACATGAGCGTGTCAGATTGGGGGATGTTACTAGATACAAGAAAAGAGAGGCCTGGAGATGCTGGAGGAAGCTGCTTGGAGGAAGATCTGGGTCATGGTTTGACCTCCTACATCTTCTCACATACGATCTTTTGTGTGGTGTTTAACCACTCTGGATCTCAGATAACCCATTTGTAAAATGGGAATGACATTTATTTGTGGAGGTTATAGTGAGGGTTCAGTGACATCATGAGTGTGAAAACACCTAAAATTCCATTTGGTTCACAACAGAATTGAATAAAAAGCCTTCAGTCTGAGTCGAGCTGGGCGTGGTGGAGCACGCCTGTAATCCCAGCAGCTCTGGATGAGGCAGGAGGATCGTGAATTCAAAGCCAGCCTCAGCAAAAGTGAGGTGCTAAGTAACTCAGTGAGACCCTGTCTCTAAATTAAAAAAAATACAAAATAGGGCTGGGGATGTGGCTCAGTGGTCGAGTGCCCCTGAGTTCAATCCCTGATACCAAAAAACAAACAAACAAACAAACAAACCCAAAACCAACCAACCAACCAAACAAACAAACAAAAATCCCTCAGGTCCAGGATGTCTAAGGGCAGTTTTTTCCAGAAGGAAGAATATGATGGTTTGTGAGAATTTAGGTGGTTTGTGAGTGTGAGTTTGAATAATTCGGAATCACACAGTAAGAAACATATTCTCAATCAGTTTTCAGGTTATGTTAATGAGGAAGACTCAATTTCTGCGCCGGTGTGCCTCTCTACCTGTTGAACTTCCTGCTGTAGTGCAATACCATTGTTTGCATCTCTGTTTTTCTGGAATTTCTATCTGGGGAGAAGTGATTCTGACTTTCCACTTGCATAGCTGATGAAAGCATCCTCTTAAGATATTCTTAAGTGGGAAGGTAAGCTGGCTAAAGAATTCTGGTATCAATATATTACTGATGAAGAATGGAGAAGGAAGGGGACATGGGTACAACACTGTGAAGGTGGGGTCCACCGAGGGAGTCCGGGACAGTCAGTGTCCTCTGCCCTTGATCCTGATCTGTGGTCGAAGGAAGCAGTAAGCCCAGGGGCTGGGGCTTCCAGTACCAATCTTGGGGGCCCAGATTCCTTCCTGCATCTCATAAATTCAACTCCATTCAGAGGACAGCCAGAGGGTTTTGACAAGCAGGGTGGGGGCATGAGACACTGAAATGACAGAAAAGGCTCTGGGGCCGGGGCTCAAGAGTGAGGCAGGTCTGGGCTGGCTCAGGGTGTCCTCTCTGAGTCCAGTGTCTATGTCCTTAAATGGGATAATAATACGACCTATTTGTATGATTCTGAATGTGCTTAGTCTGGTGCTGGGCACATAGAAAGCCTTTGATAAACTGGAGTTGCAATTATTGTTATTTTTGTTATTATCACCATCACCACTATTATCATCATTACAGAGTCAGAGACGGAACAACAGGGAGGTGGGGGCTGAGGACAGGCAGGGAAGGTGTTTACATGCTAAGAAGTGTTGGAAGTTACAAGTCGGGTGCGGGTGTCAGGGTGGAGAAAGAGAGGAAGGGAGAGACTGACAGAGAGACATTGAGAAAGGCAGATGGAAACCGGCCCCTCCTAACCCGGTGATGAATCCCAGTGATACGAACCGTGCCAAGTGGGAGGACCTGGGGCCCCTGGGAACAGAGAGGCAGCCATACTTGCCAAGCAAGGATGAGGCCTGGGGAGGACTCCCGAGATCCTCATGCAGGCTGGACTGAGGATAAGGGCCACGATGGCTCCCGACCTTGTGCTAACCCTGCTCCCTGACCAGCACTGGCTCCTACGGGAGGATGAGGGGTGGGTGCGGTGAGCTGATGCGGTCCCTCCCCTCCTGGGTGGCCATGAACTCACACAGGCACAGGGGTAAACAGGATGGAAGCCTGGGTCAGCTACTCCCTCCCTTGGTCCTTCCCTCCCACTCTCCCCTGGGGGTGGCTGTCCCGCCCAGCTCCTCATCTCCACACCCAGCTCTCTCAGCTGAAAGCATCGTGGACACCAACTCAAACATCTTGAGGACCACTCTCAGGAGCCCGCCATTCCTTCTCGAACCTCAGACCCTCCAACGCGGCCCCGAGGCTTCCGGTGCCTCTCCATGGGCTGGAAGGGTATAAAGCACCTTTAGGTGGCAGTAGGGGTGGGGGAGATGGGAGCAGTGACGGCCAGCTGACACTAAGAAGGGCCGAGAAAGGGGACCTGCCTCTCCTCCTAGGCCTGCACGAGTCTAGGCCAGGGCCCTCCCAGGGGGCTTCCCCTCCTTGCTGTCCTGCTGGGGTCCTGCCTTGATTCCTGTCTCCCAAGTGCCCCCCACCTACCTCCAACGCCTCCAGGAGATACCAACACCTATCTCCTTAGATGCCCCTGTCCCCACCCTGCGCCCCAAATTCCTGGGTTGGGCAACTGGAACACTCTTGTATCCGTCCCATTCCAGTTCTCCCTCCCTGTGCCCGGGCTCCCTCTCTGTTTCGACAGACTCTCAGACTCACAATTACGGCTCATTAGCCTATCGGTGGCTGGCCCCTGAGTCACCGGGGGAGGAACCGTGGCTGCCCAGCCCTGTCACCTTCTCCCAACCTACAGTATAAGGAGTAGTGACAGGGAGGAGGACTCTGGGAAGGCAGGGGAGTCTGGGAAAGGAGAGAGAAGGCTGTGAACCTGGAGGGAGGGAGAACAGGAAGGCAGTGGAAGAGGAAGGCAGAGGGCACGGGCCAGAGGAGGGAAGGGGTGACAAGAAGCAGATTGGTGGGACAGAGACGCTCCGGGGAGAGAGAGAGGGAGCCGGACAGAGATGAAGTCACACGGGTCCTTGGCCTGCCTCCTGCTGGCCCTGTGCCTGGGCAGCGGGTCTGCTGGCCCACTGCAGGGTGGAGGGGAGAGCGTGGGGCAAGGGCTGGGAGACGCTATTAGCAATGGAGTTGGGGAGGCCATTGGCCAAGGAGCCAAGGAGGCAGCCAGCTCTGGAATCCAGGATGCCATTGGCCAAGGGGGTGGAGAAGTTGCCTCTAGAACCAGGGAGCTGGGGGACACTGTCAGCCACAGGCTTGGGGAAGCGGCCCGGACCCTGGAGAACACTGGGAACGAGGCCGGCAGACAGGTGGAGAACGCCATCCACCACGGAGTGGATGCGGCCCGCGGCGCTGAGGCTTGGGTGAGTGGCTGGGAGTGGGCAGTGGGCTGAAGATGCTGGGGGTGACTGAGGGATGAATGGGTTTCTTATCTGTGGCTTCTGGGCATTTTTTTGCACATTATGTACCCTTCCTCTGCGTCTATGCAGCCTCTCAACCTGGTCCCTGCTTTTTTTGGCTCCTGTCCATCTATGGCTGTTTGGGCCCCCCCCCCCCCCCATCAGAGTCAGAGACGGCCACACTGAGTGCAGATGTTCTGTCTTTGCAGGGAACATCCGGAGGCCATGGTGTGTTAGGCCATAATCAGGGCAATCTTGGAGGCCCAGGGTCTCCCTGGGGTCAGGGACACCCCGGAGGCTCAGAAGGCAGCTTCGGAACCAACTCTCTGGGAGGGTACTCAGGCCAGGGAGGCAGTGGAGGGTCACAAAGCTTTGGGACCGATGCTCAGGTAAACTGACCACCCCGCCCTGCCGCCTGCCCCGCCCTCCTCCGAGTCCTCACTTTCCAGCCTCCCTGGTTCTTCCGGATCCCACAGTCTCCCCTTCCCTGCAGGGAGCAGTGGCCCAGCCTGGCTATGGTTCAGTGAGAGGCAGCAGCCAAAATTCAGGGGTAAGAAGGAGAGTCTGGGGACAGAGTGGGCATCTGGGTGCAAGTGACAGAAAGAGGGGGAGTGACAGAAAGGAAGGAGAGGGGGAAGGGAGGGCTGGGGTGGCGGGAAGATTGACTGGGGAGAGGTGGGTACAGGAGGAGCCTGGGGAGAAGGGAGGCATTGAGAGGGCCGAGCCGCAGGCAGCGGGTGGGGCCGGCCTGGGAGAGGAGCGATGGACACTTAGCCAGGTCGGCCCCTTCCTTCTGCAGTGCACCAACCCCCCACCCTCCGGCTCCGGTGGAAGCTCTAGCAACTCTGGGGTAAGAGGACGGGCCGCTGTGGAGGGAGGGGACATTCGGCTCCCCTTGCCCTGGCCAGAGGCAAGCGGAGGAGGAACAAATCATGGTCCCTGTCCCCACCCTCCATCCTGCCCCTCAGGGAAGCAGCAGCTCACAGTCAGGCAGTGGCGGCAGCAGCCACGGTGGCAGTAGTCACGGTGGCGGCAGCAGTGGTGGCAGTAGTCATGGTGGCAGCAGCAGTGGTGGCAGCAGTCACAGTGGCAGCAGCAGTGGCAAGAGTGGCAGTGGCAGCAGCTCTGGGTCCAGCCGGGTAAGTTCTGCCCCTTGTCTGAGGGCAGGGATGGGATGAGGGTCCTGGTGGCGCCTGAGGAGGAGATGGGCTCTGGGTCCCCTGGAAGCCACCACAGCTCAGGGGTGGGTGGCATCATAGGCAGTCATCATCCTGGGGCTCCCCCACCTTCCCAGTCCAATCACAGGGCTCCTCACTCAGGCACGTCTGGTTTACCCAAAAGCTTCCCTATCTACTCCTACCTACTCTACTTCCTTCCCTCCCACCCTACCACAGCAGGGAGGTCCTACCTCCTGTCTAACCTCTATTCCTTGCCCACTGGGCAAGTCTGAGTGGAGTTGGCAGTGGGGGAGGGAAGAAAAGAGATGGGCACAGAAAAATACGATAGTTGTTTGGGAAGCTCTCAGAACACGTGAGGACGTGCACAGGGCTGTGGTGTAGACGGCACTAATAACTGTGGCCACAGGTGGGGCTCCCGCATGGTGCACGAGAGGCCAGGAGGGGTCTGCCTTAGATGAGAGGCCTGGAGACAGGGGGCCGCACAGGCTCCTTGGGGGTTTGGGAAGGGTGTCAGGCCAGAGAAGGTCAGAAATTACGACAAACCCAAATAGCAGCTGCTTTAACTTGCTGCCCCTTATATCTCTCCCTCTCCCCCTGGCTAGGAACGACAGCCAGAAAACTCCAGGGAATTGGATCAAAGCTTTTCAGTGTCCAAGGTAAGCACTCGACAAGTCCCATTTCCTTCCTGGGTTCCAAGGGGAGGGCTGGGGCAGAAGGAGCCCACCTGCCCCCTGGTGGCTGGATGGCGGCTCCTGGTGGGGCCGGGCAACAGCTGAGATTCCCCAAATCATCTCCGGCTTCCAAATACACACCTGGTCTTCTCCGTGCTCAGAACAACTTCCCTCAGTGACCAACTGGCTAAAGATTGACTGGGGAGAGATGGGTACTGGAGGCGCCCATCTCTACACCACAGCCCTGTACACGTCCTCACGTGTTCTGAAGGAAGAGTGAAGTCTCACGGGAGGGTGTTTCTCAAAAATCCATAAAATGACTGAACGCCCTGGTCCCTCTGCCAGCGTGTGACCCTTGCTTTTCCTTGTAGGGATCCGACTCCGGCCCTTCCTCAGGCAGCAGCAGTGGTGGCAGTGGTGGATACAAGCCCGAGGTCAGTGGCTGGGGAGTCACCTGGGCACAAATCTCCCTCAAACTGTGGGAGAAAAACAAGAGGGGTCAGCCCTTGCGGGCTGAGGAGGGCCAGTTAGAAGCCCCGTTTTGGGGCTGGTGGTTGGGAGGGGACAGAAAGTCTTCCCTTTCTCCCACAGTGTGACAACCCAGGGAATGAAGCGCGACAGGCTGGAGGATCTGGGAGTCAGGTGAGAGACAAACCTGTCACTGTGCCAGCTCTCAGGAGTCCACTGGGCTCAGCCCTATTCCCTTCAACTTGTCTCTGGGGGACTGACAATTTAGGTGGAAGAGACTGAAGGCAGATTCTTAATCATACCAAGAGCCTCCAGGGTCATAGTTCGTGGTGACTCTTTTGTGATACACCTCACTGAACACCGCAGATGGGCCGTGGGGCACGCCATGTGAACCCGTGTTTGGGAAACAGAATCATTTCATTGTCCCATCCCCGGCCAGGGAGCAGAATGCAGTGAACTCTGGCAGAGAAGTTTCCTGGAGAACACATTTCCTCCTAGTTGTTCTGGGAATCTGCACATTAGGGTCAGCAGAGTGTGAGACACGCACACTTAGAGCCCTTGTGCAAAGGTGGGTTCTGACTCAACAGGTCCGGGTGGGGCTGAGCTTCTGCAGTTCTCACCAGCTCCTAGGGATGCTGCCCTGTGGGACCACGCATTGGTGGCAGCGAGGAACAAGGCCAGGAGGGAGAGGATGGGGTGGTTGTGGGCAGCCCTCAGATAAACTGGCTCTCTGAGAGCTCCTCAGGTATTAGGATGCTAGCAGCCCCCACCCTTCTTGGGGTACTGGAGATGAGATCAGGGGTGCTCTACCACTGAGCTACATCCTACAAAAAACTACAAAAGATAAGCCCTTTTTATCTTTTGACACAAGGTCTCCCTAAGTTGCCCAGGCTGACCTTGAACTTGTGATCTTCCTTCCTGTCTCAGCCTCCTGAGGCGCTGGGATTACAGATGTGCTCGAATCTGCCCAGCAGGGTGCTAACCTTGCGTTGGTTTACAAGTTTAAAATTTTTTTATCTCAGTTTGTAACTCTTTTTTTTCTAGTTTTTTATACCCCGATGTCTTAAGGACATCGAGAGTCAAAAATCTCCCTGTTTTCCTCTGTGGTTTCTGCTCTTGGTGTACAGCTTTCAGGCCAACTCTTTTCCAGTATCATCAATACTTATATGATTTCATTTTTCCCAGTGTAACTCTTTAATCCCCCTCAACTTTACTTTGCCTCTAGTGCTCTAGCCCCACCCTCAGCCTAGCCAGACAGGTTCGCTGATGGGAGCTGGGTGGGCCTTCATGGGGGGCAAGCAAGCCAACAGCAGAAGGGAGGAAACGGATGAGTGTGACTGAGGTTTCCACCACTAGCTACCTGATATTTCCAGCCTCAAGTGTCACATCATTTCCACTGCTGATTTCAGATGCCACTAATAAATACCTTCATGTTTGGGGGGAGCTCCTGGGAGTTCTGTTTTGCTGAATAGATTCGTCCGTCCTGGTGCGGGAAACCACACAGCTTTCCTTACAGTAGCTTATGGCCCATGACTGTCTATCAGCACCAGTCCCCTGCTACCACTGATCTTTTCCAGTGTTTTTCTACCTGCTCCTAAACGCTTTATCCTTCCAAATTAATTTTAAAATTATTTTGACAACTTCCCAAGGACTTTTAGAGGAATCGCATTGTCAACACATATATTTTTGAAGATGGCCTCAGGATCTGGAACAGGGCTCTGCATCTCACTGTCTTGTCCTCTGGGGCTTCGGTGGAGGACAGGGAGGGCCCAGCCATTCCAGGAACATCAGGGTAGAGAGGTGGTGGCCTTGAATGTAGCGGCTGAGTCCCTAGTAAAAGGGATGAATGAAGGCCAGCTCTCTGCAGCAATGTGAGCAGAGCCGGCCTTTCACAGCCCGGACTGCATGTTAGCTCTGGGAATGAGGAAGTGGCAATGGAGGAACCTACCTCTAATTTGGGAGGAGACTAAGGGCTCTGCTGGGCCACCTGGGCTCCCACTGGCTTGCCAGCTGGCATCCCCTTTCTTCCCAGTGCAGACATTAGCCCATCTGGGGTCCTCCGGTTTGAATCAATTCAGTCCAACAACCTGCTTGTTCCTGCTTTGAAGCCAGGGGAGAAATGAGACCCTCCCTGTTGCATTCTGGGCAGCTTGCAGAAGCGAATATGAACAGAGAGGGTGATGTTATCCATAAACACCATAAGTGAGCAGTGACTTGGTCCCTCATGGGAGGAGGCTGAAACAGGATCTTCCAGGGAAGATGGAGTTCCATGGAGAGAAGGAGCTCGTTCTTGGGGTCCTGGGAAGTCTTCCGTCATGCTCGTGTCTTAGTCCCCTGATTCCTGAAATGTGTTACCTGCACCCTGCTCTTCTGCCTCTCCTCCCCACTGACTTCTCCACGTTCTGTCCCCCTAGGAAAGCAGAGAGAACAGTCACCTCCTTGGGGGGTCCAATCATCAGGTGAGCCGGGGGCAGCCAGGACTGGCTTTAGCAGAAGGAATGGTGGGGCAGGGGACAGAATGCCAAGGACCTGGGGAAAGAAACAAAAATGTCAGTTTCTTCTTGTAAACTGCTTTGAAACTGTGTCGGTTGACCATTGGGAGACCAAGATGGCAGTCGGGGATCTCCATCCCCCGCCTTCATTCACTCATCCCCTCCCTTCCTCCCAACTGGGATCAGAGCCTTAGTACTTTTGCAAGGAGAAAACATACTAAAGTAACAGAAGAATGGCCAAGGAGTCATTGTTTAAAATGATATTTAAGAGGTCAGTGTGAAGAAGTGGAAAGTTGCTGAACTTTGGGTTAGAAATGGGGGTTCACTTGTCATCTCTGCATCCTCAGGCAAGCCAGTTAACCTCTCTGAGCTGAGGTTTCTTTGATTGAAAAGGGGATAGTGAAGTCTGACTCGCTAACCTCCCACAGTTTTTATAGAGCTTTCTGTATCATAACCAGACCAAGGTAGTACAGAATCCAGACAGGGAGACAGATCCTGAGGCCAGCTGCTGGACACCTCTTGAATTTCAGTTTCCTCATCTGCAAAATGGACTCAGCTCCTGCATAGGAATATGGCTGGATACGGCACAGTGCTTGGCGCATGCCGGGACCACACCTTAGCTGCTCTTGTTATGGATGTGTTTTGAGATAGGAGAGTGTGGAGGCAAGAGTGTGAATCTGATTCCACGGCCTGGGTAGGGCTATCTAGAATCATCCTAGGAGGGCTTTTTGAGGTGGGACTTTTAGGTAGCATGTAATGAAGAAAAGCAGGTCAGTTTCCAGAGAGGAGCAGAGAAGTGTGAGCAATGGTGGAGACTGGGCCTGCGCAGGTGGGCAGATGCATGCCCAACAGAATGTGGGAGCCTTACACTGAGCAGTCCCTTTCTCCCACCCAGGGGCAAGGGTCCAGTGGGGACAGTGGAAGAGGTGATGCTGTCAGCGGTCTCAATACCGTGGTGAGCGGAGGCACTCCTTCGCCTTGGGCTTGGAACATGCTGTCAAGCACTCTTTGCCTCCCCTCTTGATACCCCATCTCCTGCCCCTGCCTCTTGTTCACAAAGTGACTTCTTGATCTCATCCCATTTCTCATTGATTCCTTAGAACTCTCAGACGTCTCCTGGGCTCTTCAATTTCGACACTTTCTGGAAGGTGGGTTCTGTAAGATCACTCTGCCCTGTCCCTTGGTCCTACAGTGTAAAATCCTCTTTCTATACCAACAGTTGGCAGAAGTCCTTGACTTCTCCTGGTCTGAAGCCCTGAGCCAAGTACATCCTGACGTGATTTGGACATTCCTTTTGTTTTCTTTGCAGAATTTTAAATCCAAAATGGGTTTCATTAACTGGGATGCCATAGAAAAGGTAAGTTCTGGCGGGTCTTGCAGTCCTGATCTTAGTGGGAGGGGAATACAGGTTAGAAGCGAAACCTTTGCTTGTTGAGCCAGGGGAACAATAATGATGGCCACTAAGAAGGTATTCGGGCAAGTGCAAAAACTCAAACCCAACCCACCAACAAATCTTGGGGAGGGCCAGCAGAGACATGAAAAGACAGGGAGAATTTGGACACAATTGGGAGTCGGGAAGAGGGCGTGGGATGAGCCTCTTTAAGGCCTCAACATGTAGACCTGACCCAGTTCTGAACCTCAGGTTCCCCTCTAGAGCTGGAAGGAAGTTTAAGGAAAAGGAAGTTTAAGGAAAAGGAAGTAGGTCTGATCATAAGGCACAGATTGCATGGGAGTCAAGTAGCCCTAAAAGGCCACGTGAGGACTGACACACCCACAGGAAAAAAGGCAAAGGAAATAAACAGCTGCCCAGTGCCTGATGGGTGACAGGCATTAGTCTGAGTCCTGTGCATATGTAACCTTAGAAGATAGTTGGCACCTAGAACCTCTTTTTCCTTCCTTCCTTCCCACCCCTCCCTCTTGGAGCGGAACCGCCCGGCCAGGCCCATTTGACACCAGAATAGCAGTATTGGGGGTGCTGGATGGGAAGGGAGGGGACGCAGGGGCAATGAACAATCCAGACACACTCCCCAGGCAAAAGCTGTGACTTGGTGGCCCACTGCTGTGATTTGTTTGAGCCACTCTTTTGGATTGTGTTAAAGAATGTGAATTAGAGAGCTAGGGATGAGGCTCAGTGGAACAGTGCTTGCCTGCCTTGCATAGGCCCTGGGTTGGATTCCTAGCTCCATTAAAAAAGAATGGCTGGGCTCAGTGGCTCACATGTGTAATTCCAGTGTCTTGGGAGCCTGAAGCAGGAGGACTGCAAGTTCAAAGCCAGCCTCAGCTGGCTAAGACCCTAAGCCACTTAGGGAAACCCTATCTCAGTAAAAAATAAAATAAGGAATGGGGATGTGGCTCAGAGGTTAAGTGCTTCTGGGTTTAATCCCTGGTTCAAAAAAAAAAAAAAAAAAAAAAAAAAAGAATTATTTGCCAATATTTAAAAGTTGAGACTTCACTTAATGATTTGGGTTTCTGTCCTCTCTTGAAAAATGTGACGACCTGAGGCCTCCTTTTCCCTGGGGCAGTAAATGACAGGTGAGGGGTGAGGAGCTGCTACTTTTTGCCCTGGGCTCTTGATTTTCAGGGGTGACACTACCCCACTGACTCCCCTGGGAGCATGAGGTTCTGAGCCCTAGTGTAAAAGGGTAAAGCCTCTGATCCCTGCCTTCCCAGGACTTGTGGTCTTTCTGGGAGAAAGGGGTGGTGATAAGTAGAATGACCCAAACCTGGGAAAGGTGACTCTGCTCTCTTGGGAATGAGGTGGAGTGAGAGAGGAGAGGGCAAAAGGTCTCCGCTCCAGGGAATTTCTGGTTTGAATGAACAAAATAAATTCTCTAATTTATAGAGAACAGTTTCTGGTAGGGGAAAGACTCCTTGCTGTGGTGCTTAGGGGCTGATGGGAGAGCCAGGGGACACATCACACTTCCCACAGGACCAGGACAGACTGCCAAGCATTTTTGTCCATCTGTTGGGGCAGCGAGAACGTGATCACAGTTAGGCAGGAGGGCAAGGGCCAGTCTCCTGGAGAGGCAGGTCCTGCAGGAAGAGGGACAACAGGGCAGAGAAGGTGTGGAGCACGGTCCTCCTTCACAGTGAGGATAGGGAAGCTGAGGATGTCCCCAGAGTGAGCAGTAAAGACAGAGGAGCCCCATGTAATGCTCCAGGTGAGGCGTGAGGGTTCTCAGGCCAAGCTGGGCTACCTGGATTTGCCTAGTTGACAATGGCAGGCTAAAATGTCCCTAGAGATTTCTGGAACATGCTCCATGTTACCCTGCCTTGGCCACCATGCCCCCTAATTCATGTTCCTCAAGCTCCCTCTTAGAACCTATTTCTTTGCCCAGGACCAGAGGAGCTTTCGCATCCCGTGACCTCCAGACAAGGAGCTACCAGCTGGATGGGAGCCCCCGCTCCCTTCCTAAACACCGCTCCCTCATCCCCAGTCTAGACCCTCACCCTTGAAATAAACCATAGCTGCCCCCCCACTCTGGTCTCTGGTGCTTTCTTCCGTCTCCACTGTTGTCTGGGGCTGGGGATGGGGGTGCACACCCACAGCTTTGGGAGATGCCAGGAGGTGGCACTGCAGGCAAGAAGGGGTTGTAGGGGCAGGTCCTGGTCCCGAGGTTCATCTACAATTATGTTGTACCCCTAAACCCGGGAGGGGTATGGGGAGAGAGACTAGAGGCTCTGTGTTAGGGGAGGGCAGGTGGGTTCATGGCTCAGAGATCTAACTTCTCTCTCCCTCTGTTTCCAAAGCAGTTTCTGGTGTCCTTAGACTCCCAAGTTCCCTCCAAATCTTAGTCACAGTGAGGTTCTGAAGGCTGAGAAGTGTCAGGAGCCCGAGTCAGGGCTTAGGTGAGCAGGGTGGGGCACCCTGCTAACCTGCTCCCCACCTTTCATCCACAGGGCCGAGTCCCGTCCCCCAGCACCCGAGCCCTCCTCTACTTCCGCCGCCTCTGGGAGGTAGGAGAATTCCCACGTTCTGAAGAACTGGGGATCACGGTCATCATGTCCTTCCCCATGCCTCCCTCAAGGCAGTTACCTTCGGTTCCTGCCCATTTGTCCCCAAATTGCCTTTCTTTTCATTTTTTGAGATGGGTCATCTCACCCAAATCTTGTCACCAATGCCATCTCAAAATGACCAGCCACAATCTCCTACAAGCTCATCTTCACTAAGTTGCACCCAGCCTCTCAAGTCCATTCCAAGGCCACCTGGAAATCTGCCCCTTTGCTGCCACTTCCCACCCTCTGGGTATTGCCCCCTACCCCAAGCCTCTCTCATGGCTCCTTCTCCCTCCAGAATTTCAAACAGAGAACTCCTTTCTTCAACTGGAAAGAAATTACTGAGGTAAGGGGGGCAGAAGTTCTTTCAAGGTGAGGAAGCTCAGCACTAGGGGACCTCAGGAGCTTGGGGCCTTTGGCAGGTGGCATGCTGATGTGGCTGTCCCAGTTTCTTCCCCTCCCTGCTGAGGGAGGGTGCCTCCTTCCTTCCCCACCCTCCTAAATTTATGCAACCTTGAGTGGGGGTGGGGTGGGAGAGAAGCCTTGCGTCACTGAAGGAGCAGGGTGGGAGGGCCTCCCCAGGATAAAAGCCCAGGCTCCAAGGCTGAGGCCTCCAGAGGCACAGAATCATGAAGCTAGCCACTGTCTCTGCTCTGCTGCTGATCCTGCTAGGCTTGGCCTGGCTCAGGGGGAGCCACAGCTGGGTGGGTATTTCAGGGTGAGCAGGTGCAGGGAGACCATGGCGGTGGGGGGGAGAAGAGGAATCTGGGGCTGGGGTCAACACCTGTGCCAAAAAGTGGCACTGGGGAAGAAAGACTAGGGGAAACTGGAGGGAGAATGAGAGTACGGGGATCAGATTAGGTTCAAGTGTGTGCAGGTGCAGGATGTCTGAATATCTGAATCTTGGGGAGGATGAGCAGGACCTCTGGGGCCTGTAGAACACCACACCTTGGTTCTGCATGGCCATTGGCCTTTGGGAATTAGAACCTTTGGGCCCCAAGGCAAAGGTCGTCCACCTGGGCCAGGCATGTGAGACTCTACAGGTGGGTTAAGGCCCTCGGCTGAATGTTGTTATGCATGCAGGTAGGGCCACTGTTGTTATGTCATCTGATTTTTCGAGAAAATCTAGAAATATGATTTTTAATTGTTTGCAACTAGTCTTTTTTTTTTTTTTTTTAAATGAGCCCTAGCAAAAAATGTCTGAAAGCCTATGGACAACCAGTTTGTGACCTCAGTGTCGCAGAGTAAAGAGTGGGGTTAAGAATTCAGGTTAGGTGTGAATAAGGCAGAATTAGGTTAGACAGGATTTCCTGGTATTGTTCCCCCCTTTTTTGACTAGGAGCTAACCTAATTATTTAGCTTCAGTAATAGTAACTGTTCCTTCCAAGGACCTTGCAGGGAAGATCATTGGTGCAGGGATTAAAGGGCCTATAAGGGAGTAGCAGGGGTTGGTGTAGACAATTTTTTGGTAGGCTGTGGCTAAGGGACCTGGGTCTGCCCCAGAGGAGCCTGTGTGGACTCAATTCTTGCCTTTCTAGTGCATTCTCGGGCCAGAGTTGCCAGTGCTCCCAGTGTGTGGGTGGGTGTGGTGTTGCCCAACCTGACTCTCCACCATCACTCCCCAACCCTGAGTGTGGATATCTATGTCCTACATCTATCTAGGCCACTGGCTTAGGATGGAGGGGTGGGTTGTGTGAGATGGGGCTCCAAGAGGAGGGCAGGGCCTAGGCAGCAGGATGAGAGAGCCCTGGAAACCCAGCAAGGCTGAAGGACCACGAAGATGCTACTGTGGCTTTTTTCTCCCTCCCAGGATGCAGACGTGTACACATTCCAGAAGAGGGCTGGTGGTGCTGATCAGGTGGGTGTCTTTGTCCTCAGACTCCCCTGGAAGGCCCTTGGTCCCTCTCAGCCCTATTCCTGAGTCTGGCCAATCTGAAATTCTCTCTTTTACTCCCCCACCCAATAGTTTCCTCAGCCTGGCTCAGGAAGGCAAGAGGTGCCAGCCGTAACTTCCAAGGCAAGACCTGCCCCCTGATGGCTTGATTTAGACTCTACTTCTTCCTTGGTCTCCGACCCTCACATCCCAAGTCACACTTGAGGAGTTGGGAGAAGTACCAGGGAGGGAGGAGGCAGGCCCTTTGGGCTAGAGAGTGCAGTGGGGCAAGGGCTGGGCTCTGGCTGGCTGGAGCTGTCTATGAAACCCGTCACAGAGGGGAGAAAGCAGGTTTCAGGAAACATCCAGCTGGGGCAGGGCCGTGGGGGGTTTCTTCCAGAGCAAAAAGTCTTCATCCTTCTCCTTCCCTCCCACACCCCACTCCTGTCCCCGCCCACTCTTGCTCCCACAGAACTACAATTACAACCAGCAGGCATATCCCACGGCCTACTACGGGCAGGTCAAGACCCCTGCTAAGGTGAGACTTGCCACTGCCCTGATTTCTCATGGTGGGGGTGTCTCTGCAGGGGGGAGAGGCAGGGGCATTCACTGTAGGGCCCATCCTGTTCACTTTGACAAACAGGCCTCCATGTCCCTTCATGAGGGAGACTCAGGTGCCCTGAGAGCAGTTTGGAAGTGGGGGGCAGAGGGAGTGGTCACTATTCCTCACAGTTATAGTCTCAGAGGAGGTTCAAAGGGGACAGTTTAGAGCAACAGAGAAAACTGGGAAGGATCTGAAGATCTTTTCGGAGACAGAATGTGGCTCTAACAAATTATATCCCGCCAGGAAAAACACACAGGTGGCTTTTCTTTCTTTGTAGTGTTTGCTCTGTGTCAACTTCTTTTTTTTTGTGTGTGTGTGTGTGTGTGTGTGTGTGTGTATGAGGGGGTAGGAGAGCAGACTGGCACTTTGGGGTAGCTAGCCCAGGAACTCTTGGTGGGAAACCAAATCCTTCATGCCTTGAAGGAAATAAAAGAAAAAAAAAATACTTACGAGTTTTTTTTCCGCTTAGCTGTAAGGAAAGCAATCTTACAACAGCAGGAAAAGAATATGCTAGATACTAATTAGCCTGGCAAAGAAAAATAGGTCAGGGATTTTTCTCTCCATATCTCCAAACAATAAAGCCCTTGTCCCTCCTGTGGTCATGGTGTCCTCAGGGGCCATATATGTATGGTGCTTTCCTAGTGTCCTAGGGACATCATGGCTCTGTATATACTTAGGATGATAAGTCAACTGTGGGAACAAAACCATAGACTCAATGTCCAGTCAGACTGAAGGTCCTTGGTGATAATCCTAGCTTGTGCCTGCCCCTGCCATTGGGCTCTTGGTGATCCCTGAGGACAAAGCAGTGTAGCCGCCACTGTAGCCCCATGTCACCTCCTCTGATCTTCTCTTTCCAGGGAGGAGCCACGATTTCTTCCTCGGTGAGTAGGGGGACAGAGAGAATCAGGGTCCAGACAGAAGGGGCCTGAGGCCAGAGAGGGTGGAGGGGACAGTGCAGTGTGCACTCAGCCACTCTCCTCATCCTTCAGGCTTCCCGGGTGCGACCCGGCCTGCTGCAGTGGGTGAAGTTTTGGTAGGTAAGTGTCGAGCACAAGGCGGCCTCTTCCGAGCTGAGGCAGGGTCACCTCTGGGGCGGGCTGGGGTCTTGACAGCTCCTGGAACCTCAGTCAGCTACCTGAAGTCAGTTTTCCTCTGGGTGGATGCTGTAAGGAGATTCAGGAGAAGCAGACACCATTGTGGGGTGTGGAAAGAAAAATCACTGAGGACACAGGAGAGCACCTGTGAGTGCCGAATGAAGGGCTGGAGAGAGCGGGCACCGCACAGCGAGGACAGGGAACAGTCCGGGGGACTGTGGGTAGAAGTTCCCAAGTGGGATGAAGTGAGGCTCTAGGGGGAAAGCTGTTATTGATTAACTTGGTGGAGCCACAAAATCTGTTTTAGGTAGGAGCTAAACGTGAGGGAGCTGCAGGCGGAACAGGCAGGACAGCAACGAAGCTGCTGAGCCTGGAGCCAGAGGAAAGCGGATCAGCCTCAACAGATTCAGGGGGATCACATTCGATCATTTGATCTTTTTTTTTCCCCCTAGAAAACCACTTTGAGTCACTACTGAGACCTATACACACCTGTCGGCAAGGAGTCTGACTGAGCTGCTCTCCAGCTGCCCCAGCCTGAGCCGCCCCGGCCTGGGTGCTGGCCTCCCATCTTCTGGGCCGGACCTGGCTCACCTGTTCCTTGTTTCTTCCCACTCCACCGTGGTGTCTCCGTCACCACCAGCCTCATGGGAGAAACCAGATGCTTTCTTCATTTGCTCCATTTGTGACATGAAATCACCGTGACAATTTTGCAGGGGGAATTTTCTACTCTTGGGTTTCTCTGGGAAATAAACGACGAATCTGGTTTCCCTGAGACTTTCTCAAGTTGTATTCTTTACCACAACATCATGGCCTGAATCTAGGAGGATGGGAATGATTTAGGGTCAGATGATCTGCTTTCCTGCTGAGAGTAGTATCCAACATGGTGTGCTGAGAGATAAGACCTGGGTTTTAGTCCTGACTTGATACAAAGCAGCTAGCTGATTACATCATGCCTGTTTCCCCATCTATCAAAACAAAACAAAACAAAACAAAAAAACTTTGACCAACCTATATCTGAATACCATGCTTACTTTATTTGAAGCAGTCACAGGTGTTAATTGTGGAGCAGGCTGAACAAATGTTAGCTGCAGGGTAGGCTGAACACTCGACCCCCTCTGTCTGGTTCCCTATCGCTTGTTTGCCTCAAGTCTGAACACTCAACCCCACTCAAGCTGGGACACTCAATCCCACCCGTCTGGTGCAACAGAAGCCCACATGTAGCCCCTGCCCAGTCTGCCTGAAGGCAGAAGATGACACCCTAGCAACTACTGTGTGATCCAGTCACTGTACACCAACAAGGCAGCTTGCAGACCCAGAGACCCTGTTAGATTTAAGCAGCACAGCAAAAGGGATATAAGACCTTCTCCTGCCAGAACTCTCTAGCTTTCTCCCTTTCTCTTGCTTTGCTTCCCCCCCCCCCACCTCTTTTTCTTCTCTCTTCCTGCTTTCTTTCTTTTTTTCCCTTCCTTCCCTGTCAATCAGACACCACCACAATAAAGATCTCTTGGAGGGACTGGGGTTGGGGCTCAGTGGTAGAGTGCTTGCCTAGCATGTGCGAGGCCCTGGGTTTGATCCTCAGCACCACGTAAAAATAAATAAAATAAAGGTATTGTGTCCAACTACAACTAAAAAAAAAAAAAAAAAAAAGATCTCTTGGTCGCTCCGAGTGTTGTGGTCACTTTCCTTTCAATAGGAAGTTGGATGTTGTTCAAAATGAGAGGACCAGTTCCACAAGGCGGGATGTAGGAGCAAGGGCTGCCTGGGACTATGCCTGGGCCATGTGAATTCATAATGCAGAAGGAGATGCAGTGGGAACAGGGTCAAAGTCATTACCTTATCAATCATACAGCCACTCCGATTTTCCAGGATAGAGAGGGAGGGATGTAGAAAACTTCTACTCCATTAATGTACCAACGAAAGAGGCAGAAGTGCCTGGTGTGGGCTGAGGAGCCCTTGGGACAGGGCTGTAGAGTCTGCAGTTAAAAATCTGAGTCCCATTGGGCTGATACATCATGCCCCAATTAAGAAGCCCCCTCCACTGCATCCCCTGAACATCCCTGCATTAAGCAGGAAGTAAAAGGAAGACATGAACCCCGCTGCCAGCCTAAGTGATCCCTCCCAGATTGAAAGTTCTCTAAGGGCACAACACCTGTCTTCCTTCTGAGCTGCCCCAACCTAAGCACAGGGCCTCAAATAATTGATGAATAAATGAAAGAAACTCAAACTGACTCAGGGAAGGCAACCTGTTCAAATTCACCTGCCTGGGAGAAAAATCACAACTACTCCTTTGCTTTGTGCCCCTTTCATTTAAATTGTGGCCACTGGTTGGTAGTCATTTACTGTTCCATTCGGTACAGAGGGCCTTGCAGTACCAGCTTCTAGCCACAGGGGGGAGAACGCCAGCCTGTCCCAGAGAGGAGACTCAATCCTTACCTAATAGCACCCTTTCTTGGGGGTGGGTTGGGGAACAGTCAGAACTCAGGTCTCTTCAAGCCAGTCTCTGAGATACTGAGGGAGAAGCAGAGGTGGCCAAGATGGTTCCAGACTCTTGGGATGTTCTTGGTCCAAGGGGCTGAAATTAGTTCTTTCAAATTCCAGGTAACATGTGAAGCAGGCTGCTGTCCTCTGGGGGAAGGGACCCTCCAGTAAAAGGCAGTCTCCCCTTTCTCCTGCCAGGGCCTCTACAATAACCTTCTGAAGCCCCAATTTTCTTTTGTGTCTTCATAATCCATTCTCCCATGACAGCCAGAAGGATTCTCTGCTCCATAAACTTTTTCATTAGTCTTAGAACAAAATCCCAGCTGCTCACCCAGGCTGTCATTTGGCTCTGGCCTTCCTCTCCAAAGTCAACTGGTTCTTGCTGGGAAAGACCCTCAGAGGACATTGTTGTTACCTGCCTCTGGATCCCAAGATATTCTGAAGGGCAGTGCTTCAACTAAATTCTGGTTTTTCCCCCCCCTGAAATTTTATTTTTAATTTACTTTTTGTTTATTTTTTTCAGGTCTCAATTTAAATTTCCCTCCCAGGCCATCATCTCACCCCGTTTTCTGCATAGCACCTGTCATTCTCTAAAGTTGTTTATTTATTTTTTAATTAGATAGTGACCTGTCTTCTCCCCTGGAACATAAGCTGCACAGGGCAGGTACCTTGTCCATACTGTCCATCCTAGCACCAAGAGCTCAAGTAGCCACTCAATAAATACTTGTGGATTAATAAATGGGAGGCGGGATTGGAATCATGTGGGATCAATCCAGGAAGTCTTCCGGGGAGAAGTTTAAACAAATGGCACATAGGGTGGGTGGCAAAGGAAGAAACCAGACCTGCTGGGCAATGTGGCTTCTTTCTTGGGTGTGATGATAACGTTGGCAGAGGGAGGAAGAAGCGAAGGGACAGGGTTCCCTGTTGTACTTCCTAGTACCCCACACCCTCTCTCAGTACCCAGGCCCCAGCTCCCCTTCTCTTCAGGGATTCTAGGCTTTTTACCCACTTGTTCACTAAGGCCCCCGAGAACTCAAAGTCTATCCCTTCAAAATCCCCTCCCAACACCCAGGAGGTTGGCTCCAGCCCCGTGTGTGACTGTGATGTAGCAATCAGGGTTGGGCTTCACCTCCTACCCACACTCAAGTTCTGGCAGATTAGGGGTGGGGTGGGGGCAGGCCTGTGCGAAAACAGGAGTTTACTGGTATTCCCACAGAGGAAACGGGGAAATCAGCCATACCTGGAGATAATGTGTTATGGAACCAATCTGGGTCTCTGCCCAACTCCATTACCCTGGGTAATGCATCCAAAGCAAAGCCAAATGCTGGGTGAATTCCGTGATACCTATTGCCCCAACTGCTGTGACCTTCCCCCATTGAGAACCCTCTACACCCTCTCCCCCGATTCGCCCAACCACTGGACATTGGGCACTTGGGGGAAAAAACAGACTGAGGCAGTATAGATGGGGGGGGGAATGGAATGTGGAAAAGGGACACTAGTTTCTAAGGTCAGCACTTGCATCTTGTAGAGACATTATGCTTGAAACTCTCAGGAAACTGCCAGATGGAAACAGTCACAAGTCCAACACAGAAGTTTAACTTTTTTTCTTCCAGCACAGGAACAGAATTTCTTTGGTTGAGCACCTGAAATTGTTGGCTAGTGTTTACCAGTATCATGTCAAAAGTATCTGTCTTTAAACACCAGTACCAGGACTGGAACTCTGTCTTGAAACACATACTTGGAGTAGCAAGATGCTCAGACCAGAAGAGGCATCTGGAAACGGAGGCAGCTGCAGGTTCATTATGGGTGCATGGTTGTTGGGTGCTATTAATCTCTTAGGTCTTTGTGTTCATTTGCTAAAAGTGTATAGTTTAATCCATTGAATTAATGCACATATGCTTGGAACAGCCACCTGTGGCTGTGCAGGCTGCACAACACAAAGGACATCTGGCAGATGGGGCTAATGAGGCTTAACTGCAGTCTCCCCCTTGCTCTTGGGGCATGCATAGACCCTTTGTAGGACACTCCCCACAGTATAGCAAAGGACCAATTCAAGTTCAGACTCTGGAATCCCTGAGTTCTGATGCCGGCCCCGCCACACACTGGCTGTGTGACCTTGGGTAAGTTATTTAACCTCTGTATGTTGTGGTTCTCCCACCTACAGAATGTGGGTAATTACAGTACCCAGCTCATAGAATCTCTGTAATATTTCAATGAGCTCATGCATTTAGCACAAGGCCTACCACATAGCAAGCCTTCGGTAAATTGGCTAATATTACTATTAATGCCATTAAGTGGAAAGAAAAACAACGAGAGGTCAATATGTTGCAAAAGATCAGACTCTAGAGCCAAACAGATGATGGTGTTTGGAGCATCTGTGCTTTGGAGTATCCATGCCAGAACTAAAATTGGATTCTCCATTTGCATGTCTAAATGAACTTGATTTACATAATATCTGTTCTCCTTTGTGTGATTCTTCATTCCCTCCACTCCTGAAGTTGACCCTCTGCTGACAGAATGGTGGTTAATGAGCTTCTCCAGTCTCTGTTTATTAGTAAGAGTCTCTTATACATAAAAACTTGTGTCCTCCAGAAAACTTTTTTTTTATTGGTTGTTCAAAACATTACAAAGCTCTTGATATATCATATTTCATACATTTGATTCAAGTGGGTTTTGAACTCCCAGTTTTACCCCAAATACAGATTGCAGAATCACATCAGTTACACATCCACATTTTTACATAATGCCCTATTAGTAACTGTTGTATTCTGCTACCTTTCCTATCCTCTACTATCTCCCTTCCAGAAAACGTTTTGAGAGGAACTCCACCCACCTCAATCATTCTTACTTGTCCCCTCCAGTAGCACCAGCTGTACATGACATCTACTGCCACACGGTCATCTATACTTAGTGAGACTCCCCAACCATTGTCTCCTCAGGCGGCTCTGGAAAGGGGGAGATACCACCATACAAACAGGGGAGGCTTCCCTTGGTTAAAGAGGGGCAGGGTGTCTGGGGCTGGGCTATGGAGGCAGCATGGGGACCGAGGTGCCTAGTCTCTGGGGTTCATGAAAGTTGTTCATGATGACATGGAGCCCTTCTACCCCAGGCCTGCCGCTGATATGTATTGCATCAGGTTGGGGTAAAGAGACCCACCCTCAGATAAGGGCTTGCTTTGCCCTGACAGCACCGGCCTCTGTCCCAGCGCCTCCCTGTTACACCAGGAACTGGTTGGGCCACCTGAACCTCATTGTGGAGAAGGTTGCTTCAT